CTAAACTCGCAGAGGGGAATGAATGGAGAAAAAAAAACAAGGGAAAGAAGGGAAGGAGGAAAGAGAAAAGGAGGATGGATTGAGAGATAAACGCAGATGAAGGATGAAGGGGAAGAAGGAGAGAGCAGCGAGGGAAGGGTTACTTTTTTGGGGATGTTTGGGCAAGGTTTCCAGAGAGTAACTTTCACATGGGTCAGTGCGAGGTTGGTATTATCCATCCCGGACTGGTATGCTTGTTTTGTTTGCTTTTTTTTTTTTAATAGATTGTGCTCTATAAGCATGGCGTGTCTGTTAAAGACACAACGATGTACAGTACAAGAGAGTCCAATAATAAGGTGTCTACCTGTCCTTGCACTGTTGGAACGGGAGACCAAAAGTATGATGAGTTGAAATGGGAATCTTCCATTATTTCTGCAATTAAAAAGCAACATAACTTGTAAAACACCCACTCGGCCTTTGGCAACAGTTGTGAAATGACACCTCGTCCTTACGTTCCACATGTTGCCTGAAGGTTTATTCACTCAGACACTTGGGCAATGTATTCATTTTGGCACCCAAGTACTCTGAATTACACAAAAAGCCTTTATTTTCTAAAGATTTGCTTGGAAACATCTGCAAAATGTCATGCATCTTTTTTTTCTTTTGGCATTTATGACTTAATTTATCCTTAAATAAAGAACATAGGGGCATCTTTGTGGTGTATGCTTAGCAAAGAGGTGTGTTGGGTTAGGAATCACAGGACATGCATGGCCAATTGTGTCAAATTAACATGCATAAAGACAAAATGCATTGATGTTAAGTCACCCTGCAAGAAAAACATACTGGAGTGATTTGCTGATCTCTAACCAAGTTGGTGCTTAACTGATTTAATGTGTTGGTAGACTAGTACACTAGGGGTGCGTTTCCAAAAACATTGTTAGCCAACTAAGGTCGCAAGTTCCGTCATTACAAACATAGTTTGTTGATTTGCCATATCCCAAATCTGTCGTTCCAACAAACATTAGCAAACTGCATCACAAACTTGTACACTTGCAACTACACCCGCAGAGCTATAGTTAGAAACAAATCCTGGCTGTGTTCTATTCCCAGTTATCACCCCTATGCCCTATTCATTTAGAACATTCTAACATTAAAACTTGTAATTGTAAAAAAAAAAATCCTTAAAGTCATCACTCTTAGTCTTAGGTGTAATTTGCTTTCAAAGTATTTTTACAGTTCATATTTAGAAATCTTCATGTTTACAATTGTGTTGCCTTCGCAGTGCACATTGAAAACATTGATGTCATTTTGAACACAGCTGTGGCTCATGACGAAAGCTATAGGTGACCTATTATAAAACTGGAATTTATGTTACGTCTCCAAAGCTTGAGAAAACAAACAACATAACATATGTTATTGCTTTTAATTTATAGTGGGTTATTTATTGAGTATCTGTACTGTATTTGACATGGGCCTGTTGGTTAGAACATCTCTGCAGTGGTTTACGTGTCAAATTGTAAAAATAGACTTTTCTAAAAAAAAATAAAAAAAAAATTAATAAATGAATAAACAATATCCTACTTAATAATACTAATAAAAAGAACAATCATCATTAATAATATTACTACACTAGGATTTTCTTTTCCATTAAGAGCATCATTAAGGGCGTCTTAAGTTATTCGCCTGTTAAGTGTGACATCACACTAAGAGGCTTTTTTTAGGTCCAAGTGCTATATCAAACGGTATGGGGAGACTCATCAAATGAGTGTATATATCCATGCCTAATATCCAACGGTCAGAAAGAGATTCATTTTTTATAAATTGTTAAAATTTTTGTATTTGTGATGCAGCAAGTCCACAGACTGATGTGTACACCATGATTTTATATAAAATTAATTTTTCTCAATTCAAATGAGTAGCGGCTTGGACCCGGAAACAGTATTACATACGTCACTTAACAAGCGGATAACGTGGTTCAAACAATGGATCTGTGACAGAGAAACTACGGGTTTTGGGTAACACTTGTTACTACAATGTTTTTTTCCCAAACGATGCATCGTACTATGATAGTTCAGCCGCGAGTTACATCAATGTTTGGGAAACGCACACCAGATCAACCAGCCAAAACCTCTAGTAAAAGTTAAATAAAACAGATGTAATGACAGACTGGTATTTTAAAAAAGGAACCAAATTAAAATGAGCTTATAAACAGGTTTATGCATACTAAAGGGGCTTTCACACTTGGTAGTAAAGCCTAGGTAGTAACTTAGACTGTATCCCCAGAGAACTAATCAAAAACCATCACCTACGATAACTTGTACTACATATCAATGATGAGAAAATAACACAAATCAGATACAAATACAACTGGTTACTGTTGTTAACATTAGCTTCCTCTATGTGTGTAAAGCTCTGGGCACTCTAGACTTTGAGCTTCTGTCGTACAGCCCTATGAAAAGGGGCGGGATCAAATATGATGATGTGGAACCGATAAAATAAATGACTTCTCCGTAATTTAAGTTTATGTAAAGAGGAGTCAGAATTATCAGAACTATCGGTCTCAGTCAATCACGTGATGTGAAACCACTGGATTCACTAAACTTAAACTTTGAAATGCAGCGACATTAAAAAAATTAAATAAATAAATTTGCATGTACATGAATTTAAGTCAATGGGGCGAAAGTGCAGTGTGACTGACTGTGGATTAATACTTTAAAGTTTTGTGCCAATTTTTGGTATGGTATGTATTCTACCAATCAGTGTACAAACAACTACATCACAGTAGTTCCTATTATGCTGGATTAGGTAAAAAGCTGATGTATGAGCTAATATAGCTACCTCAAAGTTCATAGAACAGGTTCCAAGTACTTTGATTCAAACGGAGCAGATAATTCTGACAATAATTCTAGGAACTATATATAGATATATATATATTAAAAAAAAAGTTCCTATGTGCCAAATCCCCTGAAGAATGTATGTTTACACAACAACAGCGCACTTAAAATGCTACAATTTTTCCTGTGTTTTTTAAAGGTTTCACATACAGTTGAAAATGTTGTCAAAACCATTCCTGTTTACACAGATCAGTGAAGACGACAACAATATTCACAATTTTCAGGTCCCCAAAAGACTGTTGTCATGTAAATGAATGACCAAAATGCATTAATATCTGTCAGTTTATGTTGAAAATGGTATGCTGATGATGAAACTCGCATTATATGCACTGCATATTGATGCGCATACACATAAAATGTGAGTAAACATGCTTAACACATTTCATCATCAGAAGACTATGAGCATACTGTACACACACAGCATGTGCAGCTTGCATTGTTGTCGCTGGTTGAACATGTCTTTTTGTTTTTAGACAAAATAATTCAACTGACTTAACAGTGAATTAAGAAGTTACACCGACAGAAAAAAAATAGAGATGGAACAAAAACTCCACAAATAGATGTCCATTTTGACGAGCTAGTGTGTAAGGGGATTATAAGATGTCCATAACTAAAAAAAGGTACACACATATAGACCAGTGTGTCTGCTCACTATGAAAATGTGTGTAGTCTGAAAGGCTGTGTTAGGCTGTGCATTCATGCTGAATTATATTTATTTATATATATATATATATATATATATATATATATATATATATATATATATATATATATATATATATATATTTATATATTTATATATATATATATATATATATATATATATATACTTGGTCTTCATTTGTACTATTTGCATTATTTTGCATACACATGAATACTTTTTTACATGCATTTATAAAATAGATGTTGGGCAAGTCCCCACGCTACATTTAGATAGAACAATATGTCACACTCAGGTATAAGATGAAAAGATTTACTTTAATTTTAAGGTCTTGATTCTATGCACCAGCGATGTATTTATTTAATTGTAGTGGAAATGTGAACTAAAAAGTGGAAGCAGATTAACATAAACATGCAAAAGTCATTTTGACAAGATCTACCAGAGTTAAAAGAATTGATCACCCAAAAATGATAATTCAGTCGTCCTTTACTTTTTTATTCTATATCAGAAGAGTTTTTTGTTCTGTTGAGCAGAAAAGAAGATATTTTGAAGAATGTTGGAAATCCGCAACCACTGACATCCATTGGAAGAAAAACACACTGAAGTCAATAGTTTCAACATTCTTCAATAAATCTTTTTTGTGTTCAAGAGAGAAAAAAACTTTTTAAAAAATTGATTAAATGAAGACAGAATTTACATTTTTGGGTGAACTATCCCTTTAAGGCAATTTTAACAAAAATTAGAGGTCAAAACAAGAAAAAATTAAAGAGATCATACAGAGATCAACATTAAAAGTAAGATTACCATTTACAATAAAATCAGTTTCCAACAGTGGAGTTGATTTTCATTTAATGACAATTTTAAAAGTAATAATGAAAAGGAATTAGCAACAGATTTTCCACAAGTTCACCAAAAGAAGAAAAAATGTAGGGCGAGGACTTGGTTAAGTGATTGATGAATTGTTACTTGGATTTTGAGACGGCGGCACTAAAACCAGCAAAAACAATAAATAAATAAACTCGCAAATATATAAATTAAATACAAATACAAATAAATACATAAATACAAAATTTACTGCATAACTAAAATAATAAGTAAATATGCAAATAAATAAATAAAAGTATTTAAAAATCTATATATTCCTGCATAAATAATATGCTAAAGAGACGGTGTCTGTCAATCATCAGAAGGCGGTCTTTCACCATTATTGGTTGATCGGCAGAAAAATTTAGCAATCGATTTTTTTTTTACCGTCTCCTGACACTTGACAGACAGCCTCACATTAGCATGTTGAGCTGAGGAGAAGTAAATACAGAACTGCATTTACGAATGAATAAACATTTGAAAAATAAACTTTCAGTTTAGCATTTTATCATTTCCCCAACATTCATGTAATTCATTTAATTATTTACCTTCCTACATTATTAATTATTTATATATTTATATTTATAGAAGAATGTGTGGATTTTTATATACTTTTTGCATAATTACTCAATGCTTTATTTATGCAGGTATTTATGGATTTATTCACTCATTTATTTATATATTTGCGTATTTATTTATAGTTTCTGCTGGTTTCGTCCTCCATATGCACTCAAAGTTTAACTAAATCTGTCAAAAACATTTGAAAAAATGAAACATGCCCTGATAATTTGTTAGAAAAAAAATCTTTCAAGCATTAAGAAACTTATGTATTTTTTATTGTATTTCAAGCTGACTTTAAACCAGCCAATGGAACATTGTGAGCAAGCTGGAGGACCAACAAACCAGAACATTCTGACTCCAACTTAATTTCTTTCGCATCAGCCAAATTAGTAGGTGTTTTTAAGTTGTGAAATAAACAGGAAAAATTAAAGCATAGCTCGTTAGAGTTTTGATTTTCTCTCCAAACAAACATTCAGTGCTGCAAATGTACTTCAAATTGTTGAAATGCACGAGACATGCAGAAGTTGCATGGGGATTTTTTGTGCGCGCTATAAATAGGCATCAAAACAAAAGCAGCGATCCTGCGCCAAATCACTCTGAGACTCACAGAAACACCGAGCAAACAGCCCAGAGCCCTCAGTCAACTTCTCACATCTGCCATAAACATTCATTTCATACGCATGCCAAGATAAAAAAGAAAGGGAAGCGAACAGCGTCGCGATTTTATTGTTTTCATAAGGGTTGCATGCTTGTTTCGCTGCAATGACAGCTTATTTTGCATGTTGCAATCTAATGAGAATGTTAATAACAAATGCGTGGACAATCTTAAAAAAGGGGAGGCCGAAAAGGCACAAAAGCATCCATTAATTATATGAGGGCTTCCTCAAGCAGCCTCCATTAAAATGTCAGCTTTTGTTATGCACGCAAAGAAAGAAGCACTCTCCAAAAGAGCTATGCAACATGTAAACTTCCGCTTGCAAACAATAATGCCCCTATGCCTCCGTCCCTCTCTCGGTTAGTCTCGCTGAGAAAATAAAAAAGGAAAAAAAACTCGAGGATAAAAAAAACGAAGAGAGGAAAAAAAACGTCGACGCCAATGCGAGAGAGACGCAGCTTCATGCAGACTTCCGGCTGGCGAGACAGGGGGAGAAGCGCCCGCGTGAGTTGCTCAAATTTGGAGAAATAATTGACAATTGACTCATAACTCTGTGTTAATTACCGGTGCTGGCGATTCCCTTTCAACCCTCAGGGCTCCTCCGGGCCGGGACAGTTCGGAAACTTCGTCCAAATCCGCCCGAACCCCTTGGATTCACCGATTTTTTTCCCTCAATTTTTTTCTATTTTTTTCTCTCGCGAAGGGCTGTCCGACTCCGCTCGACTACACTTCCTGTGGATGAGGTCAAAATTTTAACTAGCTTGCCGCCAAAACCACTTCCGCTATGTGAGGTCAATTATGTTTCATGAACACAAATAAAGGTTCGTTTGATTGATTGTGGGATTGTTTCATACTTATAAAATGTATGGAAATATCACTCATCTTAATATATGAAATAGACATCAACATATTGTTACCTTCTTCAAAATGATAGTTTTTGGCGATAACATTATGGTGTCTGATGTCAAAAAATATGTATAATTTTATACATTGAAAATATTAAATGCAAGTGTTTACTGTTTCAAATAACTTTTATGAAAATAAAATCTCTATATAAGCTATAATATTCGATGCAACGGATATTTACGTAAATTTAAAAACAACTACTTGACTTTCAGACCTATACCAATTCAAAATAAAATAAAATAAAGTTCATTCATTCATTTTCTTTCAGCTTAGTCCCTTTATTAATCAGCGGTCGCCACAGCGGAATGAACCGCCATTTTATTCAGCAAATGTTTTACACAGCGGAACCCAGAACTGGGAAACATCCATATTACACACTCATTCACACACATACATTATGGCCAATTTAGTTTATTCAATTCACCTATAGCGCATGTCTTTGGACTGTGGGGGAAACTGGAGCACCTGGAGAGCACATGCAGACAACATAAATGCCAACTGACCCAGCTCGGACTCAAACCAGTGACCTTCTTGCTGCGAGGTGATTGTGCTAACCACTGAGCCACCATGTCGCATAAATTATCATTTTAAACCTTTTGCTGTCAAGTAGACAAAGCATAGTAGTTCAAAGGATATTGGCAAAGTATAAAGTTTTTAATATTATGGTACATTTATTGAAATGTGTTTAATTTAATAATATGTGATAAATTAATATTCTACAAATGTAAATGTGTAATTTTGTAAAGTACTATTTTAATACTAATATAGTCGTAGAATAGAATAAGATATATGGGGAAACATTAATTGCTCCAGTGATTGAAATTATGTAAACACTATGTATAAAATATATATATTTTTGAGCTTAATATTTGTATTACAGTAAACTGCTGTTTGTTCTCTATCATACTTAATATCCTGTAATCCACTCTATTAAAGACAGATATGCAAAGAACAAAAAGAATGTATGTCTGTGTTTCTGTTTTATATACATTTAATAAGCAGAATATTGAATCTGAAATGCTGAATTGTCAGAGTGGTAGGATTTATCATAGATCAATGTGAAGATACAAATAGATATTACAAATGTACAAACCCGAAGAATATTTTACAAAAAATAAAAATTGGCGATGGAAAATATGGAGACTGGCCATCCAGACATGGGATCAGAGGGTTGGGGCCAATAACTATAAAAAAAGTTATATATTTATAATTAAAAGTTACATCATTATTTTTTAATTATTAGATTATTTTACTATCAAATAGACAAAAATTTGTGGTTCAATTAATATTGACGGTTAATTTAAGGAAATGTCTTTGCATTCATTAAATTGATGGAAAAACTAATCTTGTACTAATTTTATTGTGTAATTTGATTATGTACTATTTTAATAATTTTAACACTATAATAATCAGATTCTACAGATTAAGACATATGGGGAAACTAATTAAAAGCTTATTACACATTAAGTGGTCAGATGCTTGAAAAACTCTTTTCAAAATTGATGTTTTTATTGAGCTTCATATTTATGTTGCAGTCTGTTATTTTTTCTTTATATAATGCATTTTACTTTTTCATTCTTAATTCCCAATAATTAACCGATTCAAGTCAGATATGCAAAAGAAAAATAAATAATATGCCAGTCCTGTCTGAGCTTCTGTGTTTAATAAGCAGCATATTATATAGAGCAGGCTGTTGTTAGAAGGATATGATTTTTAGTAGGTCAAAGTTAAAATTGATATTTAAAATGTACAAACCCGTCAAAGTATTTACATTTTACAAACAAATAAATAAAATTGGCGATGAAAAATGTGGAAACTGGATTTCTGGGTCTGGAGCTGAAGGACTGTTTCTCTGCCCACGTTGGGCGTGGTTACTGTTTACTTTGTATTGATTGGATACAATCCGACCAATGAGCGGCCAGACTGAGAAGCTACACACACATTTTCAATTTGAAATCTAAACGGCTACGAGAGATTTGTTTTGCGCTGGTTGTGTATTTTGTGTTTTCCATAACTGTATTTCTCAGATCTGCAAATAAGGTATGTTTAATTCATTTATTTATATACACTATCCGTAATCATGAGAATGAAGGAATTGATGTGGATAAAGCGTGTTGTGTAAATATGCGCGTTTTTTTAAAAGTTAAGTTGCATGAATGACGTCGGCTAACCTCCGATGTTTTCAGTAACGTTACGTTAATGTTCACTGTACGTTTATTTTGCTTCACGTTAAGCTTGTTTTTCGGTAATTTTGGGATTTGTTGTATGCACTATTATGGACTAATTTAGTTTTAAACCAACGTTAACTAACCATTTTAATATTTTATGCTTTTTACTTCTTAAGTCTAATTAACGTTTATCTTTGTAATATTTTCCAACTATTATTTTGGGTTTGACTTCAAGAAGAACTGAAAAAGCTCCATGAACAAAGAGGTGAGAAATATAAACATTTGGAAATACAGGCTAAACAAGTCATGATTGGTGTAAAGTTGGTTTTATATTTGCACATTCTGACTTTCTGCTTATATAATATAATTTCAGAAAAATATTCTTTGCAAATTTTAAAAAGGGGAATCATATTAACAGTCGATGACTATCAAACCACAACATTGTTCACAGTCAATTAAATAGTTCTACTGTTTTGAGATCATATTTGCACTATTTCATACTAACTATTCAAGTTACCATGGTAAACAATATAAAGGACAGTGTCACAAATCGTTACTTTGTTCAAAATTAAACAAATGTGCGAATATAAAATCAACTTTACCTGCTTGATGTTTATGGGCTAAGCTACTTGTCACTTCTGTCCAGTTTAGTAAATATTATGTAAATTAAAGTATTTTAAATGCTATAAATATGAAGAATATATAAATATTATCCTCCACATTATATATTACCTTATACAATTTAGGTCGGTTTTTATACAAAAAAAGTTCAAACCAAATCTTAAATGATATTGATTGTAACTTTATTTGATTTAAATAAGATTTGCTTTAAAATGAGATATGACACTTAATGCTGCCTGCTAAAATAAGAATAAGACTGCTAAAAATTACAGGCCATGTCTTTAAAAATCCAATTATTGTTTGTTTGTATAGAAACAGACAGAAAGTTCAATGGGGTAATTTGACCTTAAAATGTAAATGGAGTGTAATATTTAGAATGTTCTGTGAATATAATTTTTCACTACAACTCTTTTAGCCTTGTTACATGTTTCTAAAATGTCTTTGCTGTTGTGTGTGTATCTTTAAAACACTATTTATTCTTATTATCATGTTTTTTTTCTGCAGAACACATCTCGTCTCCCTGTTATGTCAGGGAAACGTGCTCACACCAACAGCACTGATGGGGAACAACAACAGCCTGCGCAGGTTTGTTTTAGTTAAATTTAGATTTCCTTATTTTGCACCTGCATTGTTCAATCTTTGCATGCATTAGCACACATCCTTTTTTAATATAGTGATTTTAAAAAACATATTTTTGTTTCTGCAGAAAAAGATGCGCAAGGTGGAGGTAGAGCCTTCTCAGAGGTTCAGGCCTGCCGCAAGTGTTGCACCCCCAAGACGTCCTGTAGCAGTCAAAGCTCCTGGTAATTACATAGAAGTTTTAACATCTTGTTTTTACATTTGATGGAGATTTGATTAAAATCATTAATGGGGATTGCATGTTGTCTCTCTTCTTATAGTCAAACCTCTACGTCCAACTGGAGCTGCAACAGTGGCTGCTGCTCCTGCAAGAGGTATTGCAAAACAAGGGCAAACTTTAACTGCTCAGAAACACAAGCAAACACACCTTGATTAATGTTTAAAAATGATCACTTTACATAATTATATCCTATTTTTTATGTCTTAATAATTTTAATTCATTTTTAATATTAATATTTGATTTTATAAATATCAGTTAAGTCATTTATAGCTGCATTTAAATATGCCAAATTAACACCAGCATTATCTTTGCATCAAGGTGACCAGAGAAGACCAGTTGCAGCAGTCGCTAAAGGTAAATAAAACATGGGTAAAGGACAATATGCTTAGTTTTTCTTGTCTGCATCAAATTATTATAACAGTTTTTTTATTTTTTACATAGAAAAGCACATTGAATGTAAGTAATATTTCAAAGAAAATTTGTAAAAGTGTCGAAACATTGGTAAAACAGTTTGATCATCACCATTCAGTATAACAAACAAAAAAAATGAAGTGATCATCCTAATATCTAAAAAATGATTGTTTTGAGGCTGCAGTGTGATTCGTAAGAGGCTTTAAAATGTCAAATGTGTTATTAAATCTCATTCTTGGTATACTCTTTATATATAAATATACTCTTTTGGTATAGTACAGTTTTGATTGATTTCCTAATAGGTGTACTCTGTAAATCATCCTTTTTTTGCTATATATTTTGTTACTTTTTAAGCTGTCGAACATTTGTGCCAAATTATTTTTCTTTTTAAATGTCATTCTGGTTTATGATGTTACAGTTAATTTACTAATTGATCATTTCTCCAATTTCAGCCACTGCAGCTGTGTCTCGAAGGCCAGGATGGGACCTGAAAGGCAAAGTCAGCGACATGGAGGCCAAAGTTCAGAACTATCAGAGCAAAGTAAAAACTGTAAATCAGGAAAACGAGTGTCTGAAAGACTCCATAGCCAAAGTCCAAAGACGCACCGCTGATATTGAACAGGAGAATAATGGTCTCAGAAGGCGTCTTGGGTGAGTTTGATAATAACTTCATAAGGATTAAAAAAAAAAATCTTATTTGTCTAATAATATTTCTGATTCTGTTGAAGCGATTGTGAAAAGGAGCTGGTGAAGCTGGCCACAGTAAAAGATGACCTGGAGCACACCACCAAAGAGAGAGATGGCCTTCAGAAAGACCTCAGCAAGCTGACAGAGGAGCACAAGGTTTTGGAAGGACTCCGAGATCATTTAGAGTCTGAGCTTCGCAACATACAGGTACACATCTGTCCCATTGTGAGGTGGATGTCTGGTTTGGGAATCTTCTAATCAAAACAACTGAAACCAAATCAGATTATAAGGTTGTGCTACAAATGATCCATTTACATAGTCAAAACTGAATGAGAGGTACGGTTGGCTTGTGCTTTTATTATGCATCATACTAGCAATGGTATGCATAGGATTTTAAGATTATATTAGTATTGCAAACTTATTCAGGGGCGAAACACTTGAAAGCACTGTGTTTTTCTTCCAGATTTTGTCTTTTTATTGTGTGCACTACAAAAATATTCAAAACATTTGTATTATTGCTCAAAGACTTCTTTAGAGTTTTTTTTTTTTTGGAGAGGGGTTATTCATGGTCCATTAGTAAAGTAGTTTTTTTATTCTAGTAAGTTGTCAAAGTGACATTGTGGCTAAATGGTAAGCATGGTTTCCTCACAGCAAGAGGGTAAGTCCTGGCTGGACCAGAAAGCCTTTCCATGTGAAGTTTGCATGTTCTCTCCATGTCTGCGTTTTGGCATCAATTTTGACTTCTTAAATACAATTAATCTGCTGTGTTTCTCAGACTCAGCTGGCCATTCAGACCTCTGCGTTGGGCCGGTGTCAAGACAGTTTGAAGGAGAGCCAAGAACTGGCCAGGAACCTTGAGGAAACGGTGGCCCGTCAACGAGAAGAACTCCATCTCGGAGAAATGGAGCGAAGGAAACTCCACAACACCATTCAAGAGCTCAAAGTAAGAGAATGACGAGGATGTTATTTCTAGAGCAATATAAACTGATGTGTTAAAATATTAGAATGTACGACATGAGAAAAAGACTGTAAATAGTCGGGCCCCCATGATCCTTTGCGCAGTGAAGTTGCTTGGTGTTGCATTTCATTTGGAGGGACTGATCCTTGTGCCCTAATCTCTTCGAAACGGTCACTCTGGAGGGAAATCCTTCAGAAGGAAGACATACATTGTACTGTTGATTCAGTGTCGACACCTTGTGGACAAAATAAGAATTGCAATGCTATTCAAGCTGTATGTTCAGGCTGAGAGTGTGTACACGTTGTGTGTACAGTACTAGACTTTCATAAATACCTTAATTAATCTTCACCTTTCACCTTTTTAGGGAAATATCCGAGTGTTTTGTAGGGTTCGGCCGCTGCTGACAGGAAATCAGTCTGATATTCTGCACATCCAGCTGCCTCCCCATGACAACAAGGCTCTCACTCTTGCCAAAATGGAAGAGGTAAATGACACCTGCCATGTTCCTGGGGCCTGGACCATGAAGCCAGTTTCCATTTAGTTTGCACCTATTCTGGGTTTTGGGTATCATGAAGATAGCTCAGCTCGGCGGCTTCATATGCCTTGACAAGAAAGAGTGATTAAAGTTAAAGTGCCTTCATGTTACCTTAAGTTAGAATTAGAACTTTATTGTCATTGTAGTATCATACAACAGAATTAGTTTGTTAGCTTTTAGACACCAACAGCAAAAAAATATATAGGACAAATAAACAAAAGTATCACCAATAAACCAAACACAAGATTGGTGTAAACTAAACTGAAATTTAACTAGCTAGCCAGCTAATCCAGCTTTATGGTACATCCCTCTGGTGTCGTTGTCCTAAAATGTGACTGTAAGTCCTGCTTCTCTTCCTCAGTCTCACACAGGTCGCACCACTGACACACAGAAGAGCTATAACTTCAGCTTCGACCGTGTGTTTGGTCCTCGTTCTTCTCAGAGTGAGGTTTTTGAAGAGATTTCCCTGCTGGTGCAGTCTGCTCTGGATGGATACAACGTTTGTTGCTTTGCTTACGGCCAAACTGGCAGCGGGAAGACCTTTACTATGGAGGGGGGTGAACAGGAGGAATTGTGGGGGGTCATTCCACGCGCTGTCCAGCAAATCTTTAAATCCGCCAAAGCACTCAGTGAGCAAGGCTGGCAGGTACGGCCTACAGATGCTCGTATGACTCAAAAAAACTAGTTGATCAGCTTTCTTGTTTGATAGAATTTCTTTTCAGACGTGTAAATGTTATTGTTTGGTCTCCTCATGGTTTGTTTCTGTGTTTTTAGTACTCTTTCACTGCCAGCTTTGTGGAGATCTACAATGAGACACTTCGAGATCTTCTCTACAAAGGCAAACCAAACAAGAGACCTGAGCACGAGATCAGGAAGGTGTCCAACAATGAGATCACTGTTACCAACCTGACCTACCAAAAAGTCAACAATGAGGATGAGGTACTGTGAAAAATGTGGTTTTTGTTCCCCACCATAATTTTTGTGATGGTATTTATCCAATTTTAAGGGGATAGATAAATTAATTAATACTTGTTTAGTTGAACACAAAAGAAGATATTTTGAGGAATGTTGAAAACTTGATGTTCAAAGTAGGAAAAACATATAATATGGAAGTCTATGGTTACTGGTTTCCAACATATTCCAAAATATATTTTCTGTTCATGAGAACAAAGAAAGTGTCAAGGGTGAAGAACTGATGGCAGATATTTTATGTTGGATGAACTATCCCTTTAATTTAATTTTTTTTTTGTTATATTTTGTAAGGTATGATTGTTCTATCATCAATTTGCATTTATTTTAAATTGTATTATTATTCCTATTGGTCACATATCATAATAATTCACTAGTTTACTTAATATTGCATTAAGAAAAAAATTATACCAACAATTTCCTTATTTTTTTTTTTTTACTCTGAGTAATCTAAATACTTTTTTGTTCATACATGCTTGTTGCACTGACATGCCACTTTTTTCCCCTCATCTGTCAGGTGCACAACTTGATCATGTTGGCCAACCAGAACCGCTCCACAGCCCGCACGTGCATGAACGATCACTCCTCACGTTCTCACTCTGTGTTCCAGCTAGACATAGAAGGGGAAAACACAGCCAGAGACTCCAAGTGCAAGTGTAAGAATGACATGCTACCTGCAGATGCAAAAACTGACCGATGAACTAGTTTCTAAAAGGGAGTAATCATTGTATTTTAACATGTTATAGGACATTGTTGACCTCATTTTTATGAGTTTCTTTTGTTGAACACAAAACAAGATATTCTGAAAAATTTTAGGGGGAAAAACTGCATCTGACATCCATATTAGGAAAAAAAATACTGTGGAAGTCAATGAGAAGAAAAGAAAATTCTTTCTTGAAACGAGCGCAAGATGAGTAAAGGATGGCAGAAATTTTTATAAAAATTATTTTTATTTTTAAATTTTTATTTTTATTCTTCCTTGGGCGAAAAAAATACAATTATTAAATCAAGATTTTTGTTTCTCCATTAAAAGTCTATTTACCCAACATGCTCATAAAGAGATCAAAAATAAATCTGTATGAATTAAACCATTCAATACAAGTCTTCATAAGAGGTCACACTTAATCCCTAAATAAATCTGCTCATTATATAACTACTTTGGAATACTTGGATTAAACCACTTGATTTATAGAAATTATTTCTCTTTAATTTAACAATTGTTAAATTAAACAATTTAATTTATTCTTGAGTTGTGTTTCAGATCTACTTAGGGTTTGTTACAACTAAAGGATGAGTTACTGAATGTTAGTTCTGCAGTGAATTAACTTTAAATGCCTGTCTTTAAATGTTTATTGATTTGCGTTTCAGCCATGTTGTGTCTGGTGGATTTGGCCGGTAGTGAGAGAGTGCAGAAGAGTCAGTCTCAAGGAGAGCGATTCAAGGAAATGACCGCCATCAACTCCTCCCTCACCAACCTGGGAATTGTAATCGCTGCTTTGGCCAACAAGGTATCTTTTTCTGAATAGAACCCAATGCTTGACAATTGGAAAATGTAACATTGACATATTGACCTTCATTCTACAACGCGGAAGCTAACTCTCTTCTGCGATCATTTTGAAATTTTGGAAATAACTAGGAATACCTAAAGACTGTGAATAGTCGAACTACTTTTGTAACAAGTGTGTTTTTGAAAATATATAGAAATGTTATATAAAAAAAAATACCAGTTTGCAACATTAATCAGCATAACTAACGTTTTTATGGCTAAAACTCAATGGAAGTGAGTGAAGCCTGAAGTCTTGAGCCAAATAAGTTTCCAATAGATGTTCCCACTCTTACGCAAAAAAGAATAAGATCAATGTTTACTTTTCAAAGCCAAAACACTAATTGTATTGCAAGTAATAAATGAGTCAGATGAAAGAAATGATTTCACAAAATCATCGTCTTGTTCTTTTCAGGACAGCTTTGTTCCCTACCGTAACTCCAAGCTCACGTACCTCCTCCAGAACTGCCTCGGAGGCAACAGCAAAACGTAAGCAGGATGCTAAGGTTTTACTGAATATCATGTTTTGGTACCGTGTTTGAGTGTGTAACTTCTTTATTTTTCTCCTGTGCAGTTTGATGTTTGCGAATATTTCACCTGAGGAAGAAAGCTTCAGTGAATCTCTGAATTCCCTGCGCTTTGCCAGCAAGGTAGTCCTCTAATGTGATCACATCTGTGTTTTTTGAAAATTTAGGTTGCGTCCTAAATGACACATTATACACTATGCACTTCTACACCTAACCGTGTAGTATATGAGGTTAGTGTTGTCCCAAATTGAACACTAATAATTAGTCTTTTACTAAATGGAAATTCAAACTGTTTCCCAGGTAACGTTTACCATTTGCCAAGTTAGTGAAATAAACTACCAAATATTACCTGAGTACATCCACATATAGTCAGCAGGAAGCATAATCGCTCATAGGAGAATTCTGCTTTCACAAAACAAAGTAAAAACGTAAATCCAAACTCAAAGAGCACAAAAAAGGTCTTCTCCTTTATCATTAGCCCTTTCCCTTCTGCTACACGAACAAAGATGCGACAGTTTAAGTGTTCAACATTACACACTTTTATTTGTTTAATCTTTTTTTCTTTCCACACAGTTGAATGAGATGCAGATGCAGTGTCAAGTTGAAACAACTAACTTGCACACGCAGTGCAGCTCCTCACTGTCATTTACATAGCAGTGGACCAATAAAAAGAGCTTGGAGGCGGGGCAATCGTTACAAGTTGCTGTTTACAAGCGCTCTGTAGCTCTGTTTTCATCCACCTATTTTTATGTGCATTTTGGGGATGCGCATGAAAAAAACGGTTTATGGAAATGCCATGATGCGTATAAATTTTGAAAATGCGCAGAAAAGGCTTATCTGCATAACTGAGTAGGATAAACTTTTTATTCGCTAAGAAAAGATGCGCACTATGATGGAAACACTTTAACCGCACAAAGTCCAGTATGCGCATTAAAAGGTCATGTGATTTTGTTATAATTATATCATGTGATGATAACGTGTGTGAATGGACAAACCAGCAGGCTGAGCACATTGTAAACCATCTGAAATGTTGTTTTGGTCATTCTAAATCGTCTTAATGTTTAAGTATTAGTGTTATTATATTATTAATAACCTCCAGAATCAAGAGCGTCTGTACTCCGCGTCTGACACCTTCAAACGCCACCGCACGTTCACTGCGTGTCAGGATTGCCTTCTGAGGCGCAAGTCATTTATTAGATGAAGAAAAGATTGACGCAGCTTCTCCTACTTCAGCAAATTCAGTTCTTACTGTTGATATTTGGCACCTGTTAATCGGGAAGTGACCATTTTGTTCTCTTTGACTCGTTGGATGGAAACACTGCTTTATTCGCATGTCTTTTATGCGGTAATCCAGTTTTGCGCATAAAGTTCATTCGTATTTTTGGATGGAAACATAGCTAATGAGCACCTCCTGCAAGTTATTCTGACTGGTCCAATTTTTTTGGACCTAACAGTGATGAACTGTGCTTTTGGTGTGCATGCATTTTGAATGAGCCCTAAGTGCATCATCCGGTTATTTAAAGCGCACTTATTCCTTTTAGAATTTTCAGAGTGAAAACAACACTATTTATACTACAGAATGGCATAGAATAGTCTATAAGTAAGCGATTTGCAATGCACCTATACATTTTTCACAATGGTTTACGTCTGATTTACTGTGTTGCAGGTGAACGACTGTGTCATCGGAACAGCTTCTGCTAACAAGAAGTAGCCTGGCTGTCATCTCCGAACATCCATTTTAATGCGTTTTTAACTTTTACCTGAACTTCAGTTATTCATTGTATATTCTCATCTCCCTCCATATTTTATATTTCTGTTATGCTTTTTAATGTTCAGTCTCCCTGACAGAGTTTTAATGTTTTGCAACCATCAAAAGCATATTGTAATTCAACCTTTCAGTGATATCAATAAATGTTTCATGGCTTTGTAATGCAGTGGTGATTGTGATGCAAAGTGTAGACAGTTTTGGAAATGCATATGAAAATTGGTCATCTGTGTTTGTGAAAAATGCTAGTACAATTAAAAACAAGGTTACCATTATGTTGACCACTGTTTTAGTAAGACATATTTTGTTTTTGTAAAAACTATTTTAGTATAAATTTTGTTGTTTTTTAAGTAATAGTTCACAGTATGTGCATTTCGATGTATTTTGGATCAAACAAATGCATAAATGGTACATATAGAACCTGTACGTGTGTGTAAATGTTTGCTATATTTTATCTATATGTTTGTTTGATTTGTAAAGCATAGTATAGGAAATTTAACAAAGCAACACAAAGCTAAGGACAAAATCAAAAGACTAAAAAGTCTTGGTTCCTCTTAATTTGTTTGTGTGGATTTGGATGAAATGTTATTAAATATTATTTTATTCTATAAAAGTCTGGTAACATAAAATACTGACATTTAGAGCTTGTTTTCCACCCCATTTTTTTAAAAAGTGGTCTCAATTTTTTTTTTTATATCTGAGGATGTACACTGCATTTTTATTTTATTGTAGTCAAAACTATTAAAAAATGATCTAAGTATATTGTTATGAGTCATTAATGTGTAATTTAAAAGTATATTTCCCTAATTTTAATTATTGACACGATATTATGAGTCCAAATCGATTTTAAAGTGATATTCTCGACGTTGTTATTCTAATAGCCTATTTATGTTGCAATTGTGTATATTGAACGTATATTTTCATAATGAGGTAAATTTGCTGGTGTTGTTTAACGGCGCTTGTTGCCATGGCGACACAGAAAAGGATCCCAGTGTTTGGTTTCCTTTTTCCGTCGGCCGAGTCTACAGCAGCTGTCTGGGATTTCTTAAAGGCGAAACCAGACTCAACACCCGATGTCGGTCCACCATTACACTCGGCGTTCCTGCACGGTGGGAAACGGCGATTTAACACAATGAAAACCTCTCGTTTGAGTGCCTGACGGAGAAATTTAAATCGGTAAGATATCCCGCTTTATAAATTGAGGCTGATTTGGGAAACAATCCGCTTCTGTGCTTCTTAAGGCCACAGACGGTCGGTTTGGCAGCGGTTGGCTAACGTAAATAAGAGCAGAGCCCCCCTGAACACTGACGACAACACAGAGAGGGGCTGTGGATATTTATACGTGGCGAATTAGTTTTAATACACGCTGAATGCGAGCAGATAACAGCTGCGTGTGTGTGTTGAGTTAACGTAAACAATAACGACATTTTAACAGAGAGAAAAATATGAACGCATCTAAGGCGTTATAACCGGATTGAAGCAAAATAATTGAGATTATTAGTCAACAGAAAGGCTATTTAGCAAGCCTTTAGGGTGAAATAAAAAAGTGAAGTGTTCATGCAGTGCCTGGTCAATGCCCCTTGTTCTTTGGACTTGCAATATCGTTTGCTGTGTGTTCAAAGAGAAATAAGACATATTTCATCAAAAATAATGTTGTAACGTTAATATGTTTGTGAAACTTCAAAACCTCAGCAGCTTCGTGTATCGCTCTCTCTGTTGCAAAAATAAATAAAAATGAGAGGAAAAAGAGACTTCGGAAGCTTTGGTTTCTGCTCTCAGCTTTTAAAAAATAATTACCTTCAACCCAAATTTACCTTTTCGAGCAGCAGTTTAAATTCCAGGTAGCATATTTCAACATTATATCCCTTAATGTTTAAGAATTAGGAATAATCCTTCTTATTTTAGCTCACACAACCTGAACTAGCTAATTCAGATCTACATGCAAACTTCCAGATACTCCAGATGTGTGTTGATGCATTTGGAGCTAAACTCTACAGGTCAGGAGCTCTCTAGGACCAAGTTTGGACACCCCGATACTAAGAAAACAATTGGATTGAATGCATCGTTGACTGTCTGTGGAAGTGGTTAAACCTGTATTACATTTAACTACCATTTTCACCCTTTTGGTTCAGCTGCAACCTTCATCAAATACACATGTCTTTAGTTAGCAAGTGCTCCTTCAGATCCTACTCAAGCTGCGTTCACATTGGACTTTTCCTCCCATAGACCTCCATTCACACGCATGCTAATGCAGAACGGAAACGCAAGCTCATGCGTCAAGTTTCGCAGTTTGCTGGGCCGCAAAGTTCAAGCTTGCTAAACCCTTACCTGCAAAATCACACACTTGACTGCGTAAGACCAATCGAAGATCAAAACATGACCTCTCTGGACAGATTTTTATAACATGGACCAATCCTTTGTTTTTTTAAATGTCCAATCATCTTGTTTAATCCTGCCCCTTTTCGCAGCGCCATACTACAGATGTTCGCAAGCTCAAACTCTAATGTGACCAAAGCTTGAGTTGTGTTTGATTAGGGTTGGAGCTATGTAGTAAGGTAGATCTTCAGGAACTGGGTTGAGCACCCCTGTTTTAGACCCATTTTTCAGAATTATCGAATAATTGCATCAGCGAAACTTTTAACAACGGCACTACACATTTTCAAACTCTCCCCAAACAAACACACCTTAATCAACTCGTCAGAACGTTAGAAAAGACTCCAAAACCTGAAATGATTTTGTCAGGTAAGGGTGACATCCAAAATATTCACTGTTGATGTGACTCCAGGAACAGCATTGGGAGACATTGACCTAGAGTAAACATGCCCTGTATTCGGCACTTTTATACCTGACTGGCAAGCAAGTTCTGCTGCTGTGAGAACGTACACTGAGTAACGTAAGTTTGCACTCAAATAAACTATTATGCAATGGCTATTTTTTAAGGCTCGTATTCTTGCAGGAATGCAGTCAGCCACAGCGGACCAGACTTTTGTTGACTCCACGGGTTCGGTGGTGCAGGTGTGCTTCCCCAGAGCGCAGACCTCAGTTCTGGATAGCCTGAATCGTCAGCGCGAAGAAGGCCATCTCTGCGACCTCTCCATCCATGTTCAGGGCCAGGTGTTCAAGGCACACCGATGTGTGCTGGCTGCTTCATCCCCTTACTTCCATGATCAGGTATGGCTTCTATGTCCATTCATGCCCTGTATGTTGTTAAAGTATTTATTGAAGTACAGTAACATGAAACATCATGCTCCCCTTGGTTACTGTTTCTAGGAATATTTCTTATTGAAATACTGAAAACTAAGAAACAATCAGATTAAGTGATTTTAATATCGATCAAAGTTTGTTTGGATAATCCTATTGAAATCCATAGACACTATTTTAATTATGTAGACATGCAAACAAGTTAACAAAGTAAAGTTTAGTTATAGACTAATTTCGAGAGGATCACGTGCTTATTATTGTTCTCAGCTGCTCCCGCATCAGCTCATGGTTGAACTCACTTTAGATAAGATAGTTTTCTTATCTCTATATCTTCATCTTGAAGAATCCCCCCCGAAACCAGCCCCTACTCCCCCTCTTTTCCAGATGCCAGACACAGCGGCCCAGTGATAAGCACTTTTGCCTCACAGCAAGAATGTCTCTGATTAAAATCCATAATAAACCAGATGACATTTTTGTGTGGAGTTTGCTCGTTTTTCCTGGGCTCACATGGGTTTTCCCTGGGTTCTCCGGTTTCCTCCCACAGTTACGCAACCTATGTAAATTAAAAAAAAATGATGATACCTTAGTGAGTACACCTCTCCTCAGCCATACATATCTGTCATTAGCCACGAATAAGCCTGGGGGAGTTCGAGATCTACCTGAGCTCAAACTCCCCTCTCGTCCTGCAAACAGGAGGGAGCCCAGGGCTCAAGGATCTCATAAGCTCAAAGCTCTCTCTCGGGTGTGCATGCCAAACAAGCTTTATTATCAATTATCAGCTAAGTGTGAACTCTTGAAACTGCTCAAAGATGATCTAAAATTAAAAATAAAGGATTTACACCTTGATTAGTTGGGTCAAGTGTGTTAAATCATAGTTGAAGCTAAACTCTAGAAAACAGTGGGGCTTTAAAATCACCTTATACCCTTAAATAGAGCACTATTGGAGGGAGTGGCTATCTATACTGGTGTCTGAAACCATAGTGGATGTTCTGAAGTATACTAAATATATTACAAAATGCATTGCATGTACAATAGGTGTACATGCAATGGGTAGAGAAAACCCACAATGCACTGTGAGAGTTTGCACACCAAATAATGTTCTGCATCCTAAATCCTATCTATGTAAATGTATCGTCATAACAGAAATCAAAATACTTTGTTTCAATACTAGTAAACAGCTTGCTAAGTGTGAAATAACTATCACAGGATCTGATCAAGAATGTGAAAATCTAATTTGTCTGTGGGATTAATCAACCTGCTAAACTCAAATAAACAGCATCCTTTCTAGAGTTCCAGATCAGTCAGTGCTCAAATTCACTCTTTTTAAGTTGACTATATTAGTTGACTAATGTAGAGAATCGTGAATGAGGGTATAAGGGGTGATTTCAGATACAGAAACAAGTCCGAGCATGCTTGAACTAAATAATTAAATGGTGCGTAAATGTTTAAGTATTGATTAAGTTTATCTTTATTAGTCATTTCACAATATTTGATTCTGCTTGAAAGGTGCTGCTGAAGAACATGTCCACTGTCTCCATCCCGGCCGTCATGGACCCTCTGGCCTTCGAGAGTGTCCTCAGCTGTGCATACACCGGCCAGCTGCGAATGCTTCGCGAAGACATCGTTAACTACCTCACTGTTGGCAGTGTGCTTCAAATGTGGCACATTGTGGACAAATGCACTGAGCTTCTCAAAGAGGGGAAGGGAGGTTCCAGTGGGCCTCAGGGATCCGGAGAGAAGGAGAACATAGGACAGGGCAGCGGCACCAACAAGGTGGCACAAGCAGACGGAGGAGAAGCACCTTCTACACCTCAACCTCCCAGCCGCCCCTCCTTCAGTGAGAGCCAGTCCCCAAGCAGCACCAATTACTTCAGTCCTAGAGACGCAAACTTTGGCGGAGCCATGGTGTCCACCATAGCAGTAGGAGAGGGTGCAGTACACTCCACCCCGTCCTACTGCATGCCCTCCGGTGGAGAAGAAGGTTTCATGATCGAAGATGAAGAAGATGATGACGATGAGTTGTTGTTTTCCAGGAAAAGAGATAGAGGAGGTAAGCAAAAGAGCACCTCCTCTGTGTCCGATCAAGAGGTTGGGGTGAGTGACAGCTTTGGTGTCTCGTCGTATCAAGACGGAGATTCCTCACCACCCCAGAAGCACCCATCGTACATTCAGCCAAGCATTATGCCCAGAAAACAGTGGGTGGTGGTGAAGACGGAGCACTCGAGAGATGATGACCTGATCGTGGTGTCAGGAGGAGAGGAAGGAGGCGACGATGAAGAGGAACGAGAGATGGCCATAGTCAGGGAGAGGGACAGGACATTTAACATATCCAATGTTAGGACCCTTTCTGGACTTAGAGAAGATGCTGAAATGGATGCACAGGTGAGTCAGAACTTTTGTTGATATTATCAACCAGAAATACTTGCAACATACATTAAGATTAACTTTCGTCTTTACTCAAATACCCATAGGTTGACTATTGTCAGTCCTCGGAAGACTACCTCAAATTTGAGAGGGGTATAATTGACCAAACATCCTCTCAACACCCTCCTGAGAACTCCAGTCAGTGCCCCAACAGGGCCATGTCTGGCATGCTCGGCTCGGTTCAGTCAACGTCTGCCAGAGCTCAACTCTTCCCTCTGGATATGCAAGGAAACCAGATTCTTCTGTACAATCAAGCTGCCCTGGAGTCTACGTCTCCATTAGGCCTCACAGGCGGAATGTCCGGGGTGTCTCTCAAAGGAAGTCTTGAACACGGAGCGGTCCACTTGCCTAGCCAAGGGGCTTTGGGTAGTGGTATGGAAGGCTTAGACGCCGGCTCTGCTGGCAGTTCAGGCAAGGTCTTCATGTGTCATTGTGGGAAGACGTTCACTCACAAGAGCATGCGTGACCGCCACATCAACATGCACCTGAACCTGCGGCCCTTCCACTGCCCTGTTTGTGCCAAGAAGTTCAAGATGAAGCATCACCTCACAGAGCACATGAAGACCCACACCGGTCTGAAGCCCTATGACTGCCATGGCTGTGGGAAGAAGTTCATGTGGCGCGACAGCTTCATGAGGCATCGCTCGCACTGCGAGAGACGCGGCAGGTCGGAGAGAGCATCTGAGAGGTCAGTCATCTCTCCGCCACATCACCTGAAGCTTCCCTCAGCTAGTGAGCCCAATCAAGGTGGTGCCGGCGCTAGAAGTGGGCTTCCCATTTTGTCTCCGCAACATTCCATCAGCAGCAACGGCGTCTCCTGTCTTAGCATGGCTGCATCGGGGTCTCTTTTAGGAATGAGCTCTCAGAGTGGGTCGCACAGCCTTGGTTCTGGCATTCTGGGCATCGGTGGCAATCGTAGTGGGTGTGTTGAAGACGTCTGTGAGGAAAACGTTGACGAGAGCAGCGTCACATAAGAGGTGACCCCGCATGAGATGAGTGTCCCGCAACACCAGAGCACTTGTCTTTGGTTTAACAGGGACTACCATGCACAGTTGTCTCAATTCTTTACCTCATGTCGGTGAGTGCGCCATACAAGATGTCCCACGTGTGTTTAAAAATAATACCAATGACCAAGTGCCCATTGCTAGCTCACGTATGTATCTACTTAAAGTACAGGCTGCTATGGTGACTATCGAAACCATATCCAGGCCAGGAATATGGGAGGGTCGCCATCATTTTTAAAGCTGCCTCACTAGCACAGAACTTTTGTTCACTGTTGCTCTAAGTGCCATTCCGTTATGTTGTCCGATATTATGTTGTACAGAGGTGTACATTACTGTAACTCATTTGGTCCGCTCTTGATGTGAAGTTTTATTGTACTGTCACAACTATATACAGTATGTTCACTTTTAAATGTGTTGATCTGAAAACAACACGGCTTCCAGTGCTGGTTTCCTTAGACCGTTTCACACCAAGAACGATAACTATAACGAAAACTATAAATGCCCATTCACACCAATGACGAGAACTATAATGAGCACTGAGGGGTTATCAGGTGTTGAGCATGGTTTTGTCTGCACGGGTTTTTATAGGCAGTCACAGATGAGCACGGATTAATTTATTTAAGATTAATATGTCATGTCAGCAACAGTGGCTATTTTCATGAAAAAAAAACTGTTTAATTGAATCATGTAAACAGCACAATTTTAATAGTGGTCCCTCGTTATTCGCGGGACTTACATTCTATAAATAACTCATGATAGGCGAAATCCGCAAAATAGTCAGCTTTATTTTTTTTTTTACAATTTTTATAGATGTTTTAAGACTGTAAACCCCACCTACACACTTTAAACACTTTTGCCAAACAGGCATTAACATTTTAACACATTTCTCTTGTTTAAACACTCTCAAAGTTCAAATCTTCATAGAAAAATAAGTCCAATATTATAGATCGAAACTAAAGATCTAAATTTGATCTTCATTTATTTATTCCGTAATGGCGCTCTACAGCCTCGTAACTTCTACCTTCCTTTAGCATGTCCAGATTTCCAACTTTTTGTGCGATGGCTAGCATCTTCCTCTGCCTTTTAAGTGCTACCACAGGTGTCTTTAATGGTGCAGAACATTTAATCGAAATTGTGAGGTGAAAACTTGCAAACATACCACTTCATACCACACTGCTAGCAAGATTTATGATTGAAGATTTATGTAAATCTTGTCAAGCTGAACGCATTCTGAACTGCACAGGAGACACGGCGCGGAGATTGATTGACAATGGTCAACAGCCAATCAGGACGTAGAACAGAAAGCGCTGTAGAAAAAAATATGCGAAACTGCGAGGCCACGGAAAGTGAACCGCGTTATAACGAGAGAACACTGTACAATATTTACAATCGTTAACCAAATTTGTCTTTAAAATAGTGTTAGTAATTGATCAACGTTTACCTTGTGCAAGTGCAGTTATAAAACTGATGTAGGCAAACTGTACAAATGTCCACAGACCTTCCTAATCATGCGAATTCCGTCATGTGGAGGAACAGAGTTGAACGAATTATACGTTAATAAGTGATTCGTTGTATAAATACTAAAAACTAAAATGTAATTTTATATTAATTTCTTGTTTGTTAGACCACTGCACTAAATTGATATCACATTTGCAATTGGGTTAATGCTAGGGCTGTGTGATTTGGGGAAAATATCTAATTGCAATTTATTTATTTTTTTTAATTGACAGATTCTGATTTCGATTTGATTTGCAAATTTACTTTTGTAGTCAAGCTTTAGCTCTAATCTGTATCGTAGCTTCTTACTGCTAAAATGCTGTGAGTGTTTAAGTGTTTAAGTTTAAGTGACATTAACCTACTTAAACATTTATTCAAATTTGTTTATAAATTGATTTAATTTATGTTACATTTAATTCAATATTTATGAAATATTTAATTCAAATTAAACACTATTTTTTCTCTGAAGCCAACCGTAGTGTGTTATGGGGTTATCTCCTGGTGCATTCGTGACTTTTTTTTCATGTGGTGTAATAGCTGCAAACAACTCTGAAATTGCACTTTGATGTTGCACGCTAGTACATGGAGCGTCACTGTCAGTACTTTTGGTTGACTTTTTAGCAAGACACTCATATGAGGAGCTTTTTTTTGCTGGTTGTTTTATTGCCTCGTGCTGCGGCACCAATTTTGCGAAAGTTCTTTCAAATGACCTGTTTTTGTTCAGTGTCTGTGACTTTGAAACCAAAATATTCCCATATTACCGACATGCTGTTTTTCTTTGATATGAATTAGTCTATTTTTGCTACTAACGCGCCAATCATTCCACTTGTCCACACTTTCCTGTTTGTTTCATTGTGGGCTTTCTGCATAGTTCGATCGCACAATTCTGATTGGGCAGAGCTAAAGTGTGCTCACTCAATTTTCTAGTAAAACTATCACACGCAGACTGCAGACACGCATTTTCTCTGGGTAGAGAATATTATATAGTACATATATATTTCATATCACAGCCTCTTGCGATTAGCTAATCAAACATTTCAAATCACAATTCCTCTTCGATTTCGATTAATCGCACAGCCCTAGCTCATGATGATTTTTACTACACGTTCTACAACTACACAGATACGACATGTCACTGTGTGATTTGGGGAGAATATCTAATTGCAATTTTTTTGTCATATTTCAACTTTATTTACGATTTAATTCAAGCTACAAGCTGATTTTAATTTAATTCAAGCTTCAGCTCAATAATCTGTAAGCCGTGGCAACAATTATGTGACAGCTCTTAAAAATGACTTGTTTTTGTTCGTTGTCTGTGACTTGAAATCGAAATATTCCCATATTACCAATTCTGTTTTTCTTTGATATGAATTCATCTATTAATGCGTCTAAAGCAGCAGATGCTATAATCTCACTTGTCAGCGCTTTTCTGTTTGTTTGTTTTTATTTTATTATTGTGGCAGTAGTTCAGTTGCGCAGTTGTGATTGGGCAGAACGAAAGTGTGCTCAAATTACTAAATTAGTACACTCAATTAGCTAGTTGTAAACCGCCTGTCAGATCACGCGATTTCAGTATGATTTCCTTGATGTAGGGTGTCGTGGGGAGTCGTAAACGACAATGGACGTCGTGACGCAAGATTCAATCATTTCTTCTCGTGTAATGGGGCATAGTTCACGACAACCAATACCATGTCTGCGATGCCTTGCAGAAAGTCTAGCGGACAGGTTTTAAAGCACTTCACCTCAGATGTTATTCGTTACTCTTGTTTACATATATATTTTATATTGCAGCCTCTTGCAATTTTTAACAAATCGTAACATTTCAAATAGCGATTTCCGTTTATTGCACAGCCCTAAGACAAGGTATACACCAAGTCAAGTTTAATGGTTGAACAATAAAAATCAGTATCCAACAGACTTTTAAAAACTTTAAAAAGACTCCAACATTGTTTTATAGTAAACAAAACATTAAAATGCGTTGGTGTGGATGCTAATATAGTTATTATGCTTAGCGTTTTTGGTGTGAATTGGCATTTATTACCATTCTATAAAAAGTTTCCATCACAACTACATCTATAATGGTTACAATATTGTTGAAATTGCGTTCAAATGTTGACAGCCAATCAAAATCCATCCCACATTAAATACATTTGAAGCTGCAGACGACAAAACGGCAGCATATTATACAAATCTGAACATTATTATGGTGTTGACGCTTGGTAATCTATTGAATTATCGTTCTCAGTGTGAACAGCTCTATAATGCTTGAAGCGCAGGGAAGTGCAGGGTTGTGTAGGTAGTTGGATCACTTTAAATAAATCAACTAGCAGTGCTTTTGGCTTTATGCATCTCCTTAAAACTACCCTAAACGTTGAGTGGGATGAATAATCGGATTATGGAGGACAACTGAAGCACTCAGCATCCAACTACTGAACTCCTGCGGTGTATTAGATGTAGCCTATATTGTACTAGTAGTGATAGTGGACATGTTTGCCTTCCATGAAGGCCCGAGACTCGATTTGCAATGAGAAAACGAATGGATGAAAAGCTTGAATGAAGTATGCAAATGACAAGACCGAATGAGCTCAAACATCTGCAACTGCCACGATCGTTTAAGACAGGAAGTTGATTCTGCAGAGCCCTGATTTGTGTTTTAATTGCCAGAGTGGATGTTTGGATGTTAAATGCAGTGTGCGGTTATTGCCTTGTACCACAGATGAACATTCACCACAAAAAAAAACCATATACCTCAAAAGATTTGCGCAAATATTCACTATATTTACAATAACTGAACTGGGATCTGAAGATTGTGGAAGGAATCATGTATCTATCGCTTACCCGCACATTCTTCTTACTTTTCTATCAAACGTGTGTGCATTTCAGATTAGAGGACGGTGAAGTAGAGAACATTCGAAATCCAATTTAAGAGTAAAACCAGTAGGTACAAAATAGCATGATTCGTCGCTCTCTCGATGAGCGATCCGGTTAGACATCTGTATTTTGTATTGATAAATAAACACTATTTGTTCTGTCTACAACTGTTGTGGTGAATCTGAAGTAAATATGAGATGGGCAGTAGTAGTATAAACAATTTCCTGATGTGGACAGACTGTCCACAAGACTCGATACCTGGATGAAAAAGAAATAAAGTTCCTTCCTTGTGCACAAGTGGTGATTTGTTCTTTATTTAACGCTGTTCTCAAGCTGATTTTCTGAAATTTTAACTCTCTGTTTCTCATATTTCAGATTACTCTAGTGATGGATCAATATAGAAATTTTGGCAGATAAAAAAAGTGATAAAGCGATATATTAAATGCAAGCCGATGACCTACATATAGCCAGCTATATAAACTGCTTAAAAAATAGATATATCCAGCTGCAGACCCACACACATTGATATTTAAACATATATGCAGGGGCGCCGCTGGCCGCCACGGGCCCTTTGACAATTTTTCCTTAAAGAAAGTTGGGACATTGTGGGCCCCTAATAACATCTAACTCCCACCCCACTAGCGGCACCCCTGATTATATAGTCAATGACGGATCAGTCGTCTTCTTCTTTCTTGTTTAACAACCACATAATCTTTTTACATTTGTGCAGTTTTGGAACTCAAATTATGTAAATAAAAATTATTAGTTGAACACTTACGGCTTTATTCACGTATCCACATGCACAAAAAAACATAATAGACCATCTACTTGTAGGATAAGGTGTAATAAACTAATTCAGGACCTTAAAGTTGTCATCCTTGGTTAAAATCGTTTTGTAGTATACATGAGCAATATCACACGAGTAGCAGTGTGATTTGTCTGTATATTGGCACTGGTGGGAGGCGTGCATTGCCTTAGTGCCCCCACCAGTGCCGATATACAGCCATATCGCACTGCTAAGAGTGTGATATTGCGTTTATACAACAGTTTGATGGCATAATTGTGTATATAAAAACAAAATCATAGATGGAGGGTCTCAAAAACCCTTTTGTATGAGGAACTACTTTCTTCCACATTGGATTCAAAATCATAAGCTGACATTTAAACAGTTGAGCAGGCATTTTTAAACTTTAGATCTGTAGTGTCTGCTTTTTGCTGGCTGTATGTGGGCGGAGTAATACACAAAGGGTAAAGAGGCTGTACGGGTGCTGATATTACTTAACTATATCATGGCTATCAGCCCATCAGATTCGAGAACCAGACAGAACTTTTGTGTGTGTGTGTGTGTGTGTATGTATGTATGTATATATATATATATATATATATATATATATATATGTATGTATGCATGCATGTATGCATATATATATATATATATATATATATATATATATATATATATATATATATATAATTTTTTGTTTTATTAATTATTAACAGTTAATTTGTTTGTATAACTATATTTCTTGTAACTATAATTATTAACTGACTAAGTATCACCATACTACCATAGTACCAGTAAACCGTGCAACCCTAATTTATAGATTATAAAAAAAAAACTGAAGGTAAACAAATACATTGGACAACTTATTTTATTTTTAAAACCTTTTTTTTTTATCCAAAATCATTTCTAATCTGCAATTCTAATTTTTTTTCTCAGTGAAAATCTTCCAGTCGTGTGACGTCATGTGAAAAGCACCAATTAAAACCCTGACAGCCAGTGGCACATCTTAAGTGGATCAAACGACAGAAAAAATCCATAATTGATCCTATTAATATATCGAACTGATAACAATAATGACTAATCATATCAGTTATTAATCAGCCGATACTAAAATAGCAGCTGAAAAAAGCCACACATTCCCACAATGATTTTAAAATGAGAGTTCACTAAAAATATAGAAATTCTGTCTTTATTTGAAGATTCTGATGCGTTTCCAAAGCTGTACAGATAAATGTACAATAAAGACAATGTAGAAAAAATAGCTTCAGATCATATTTTGTGTTGTGGAGAAGAAATCCAAACCGGTTTAGAACCACCAGAAATAGTTTGATTAAAGAGTAATTGTAATTTCGCACATAATACTAACTAATAATAACTTTCAACAGCAGATTTAAAGGAACACCCCACGTTATTTTGGAAATAGGCTCATTTTAAAACTCCCCACTGAGTTACACATTTAGTATTTACCATTTTTAATCCATTCAGCCAATCTCAGTATGGCAGGAGCACTTTTAGCTTAGCTTAGCATAGATCATTAAATTAGATTAGACCATTAGCATTCCGCTCAAGATGACAGAGATTTGAAAATCTTTCTGTTAAAAGCATATTAAAGTGTAGTTACACTGTGTTTTACACTGAGAGACTGACAGGAAATGAAAAGTTATTTTCTAAGCTGAGATGGTTAGGAACTATACTTTCATTTTGGTGTAATAATCAAGGAACTTTGCTGCCGTGCCATGCACAAATTACGCATTGTAGACAATGTAACTACAACTTAATACACTTTAAATAGGAAAACTATCAAACTCTTTGGTAATTTATGAACAAAATAGTCTGGATGAATTAAGAGTAATTATAATTTCACATAATGCTAGCTTTAACTTTCAACAGCAGATTTAAAGGACACACATTATTTTGTAAATAGGCTCATTTAACACTCCCCACCGAGTTACAGAGTCGCCTTTTATCATGTTTAAATCCATTCAGCTGAACTTGGTTTCTAGAGGGAGAAATTTTAGCTTAGCTTAGCATAATTAAATCGGATTAGACCATTAGCATTTCACTCAAAAATGACTGGCATTTTCCTATTTACAGCTCGACTCTTATGTAGTTGCATTGTGTAGTTCACTGATGAACTGATGTGAAATGAAAAGTTGCTATTATCTAGGCAAATATTTAAGAACTATTTTCTCAATCGGGCGTAATAATCAAGTATCCTTGCTACTGTACCAAGGCTACACTAGGTGAAATGATATTACGTAGCTTACATAATGTAACAATCGAGCACGAAATAGGAAAATTATCATACTATTCGGTAAATTATGTACGAGATGCTAATGGTCCAATCTGATTCAATTATTTATGCTAAGCTAAGCTAAAAATGTTCCCGCCGGACCAGAAAAATCGGCAGAATTGATTAAAGAATGATTAAAAAAACAACGGTTAAACTATAGGGGACATATAAAATTAGCCTATTTTCTTAAAAAAAAAAAAAAGAGGAGAGTCCCTTTAATATAACTCCAATTCTCTAGATATACTCCATTTTAAATATCAATTAAATTTCTTGAGCAGTGAAATAAAAAACATCTTTAATATGACAATATTAATCTATTGAACAGATCAGCAGTTGACAGAAATGGTCTCAGTGTCAATGTGAAACGCAGGAAGACACTCAACTCTTGTGCTTTATCCCCTGAGAGCAGTTAAAGGGAGAGTTCACCCAAAAATAACACGCGTTAATATGCCACATACTGGAATATTCTAATCAAATAGTCCTGAAAATCCACATGAAAACAAAGAAAAACAAGAGGAGGAGATTTTAATGTCTGTTTTTTATTTTTGGGTGAACTATTTCTGGCGTCCTGTGAAAACAAGTCTTCAAATGTGGCGAGTTGGAGCTCAAAGTAGCTTACGACTTCAATTATGAAAACCGATTCCTGTAGCTGTTAAAAAATAATAATACTCCACAGTGCGCTGTACAAAGTTATCAAGTCAAACACTACACAAAATGAGATCGTTTATTGATTGAGCAGGGAAATCTGGCTTCCTCTAAAGACTCTTGGTAGAAATGAGGATTGCGTCCGAACCCTCAAAAATAAAAGCATAAATATGAGGTGAAGTAAGAACGTTTAGAGGCAAGACTCATTTACAGTATTCCAAAATACCTCTAGAAAGCCCCAATCAATAACGGCATGCCATTATGTATAAAAAGTAAACTGGCATGAATGGTGGAGGTTCAAAAGCGGACTGAACCAATCCTAAAATAAAATAATAAAATAAACCCTTTTGTCCTCGGTTCACATTAGCAGGCACTATTGGAGCAAGAAGCTGACTGGTTGCCAGTTCAGTACCCTGTGACGGCAGGATTCACTCGGAATCAGACAGAACGATCACTTCCTCCGGATCGCATTGTGTTGCTACGTTTACCTGTGAACACATGAAGGACAGGAGTTAGATGAGATGGAATAGGTGGATTTTTTTAGTGTTGTCTAAGATATATACAGCAGGTAGGGCTGGGCAATTTTTACGTTAAATTTGAATTTACGTTTTAAGACGATTTAATTTTATATTAAATCAAGGTATCGCTATTTTTTATTATTTAATATTAGATACATTATAACTGCACCAATGCGCTTTGGTCCACTCTCTGTATTTCTCTGCCTGACTGCATGTCTGGGTTTCAAGCATGGTAGTGACGGACTGAACACAGAGACTTGACAGCCTTATTTAACCCAATGCATGAAGATGTGGGCATGCATCGCAGAGCTGCTACAAATACAACAAATACAATAACTTAAGTGTTAAGTTGTGTATTTTTCTTTTGTTAATACCCTTGCATCAAACACACTTTGGTCCACTCTCTCACACTACTGCAGCACTGCCTGACGAGGGGATTTACATTCAGACTAATGCAAGTAAAATCCTACATGACTTCACGCTTCACCAAGTCACGTCTGTGTGGATTGTCAAGACATATTTCCTTATCAAGTCGATAAACTCGATCTCTCAACATGTATGAAGGATGTAAAAACCTGCCATGTGAAAAACCGCACTGATCTTAGTTTGGTTTGAACACGAGCAGAGGTGAGCAGTTGTAGCAGTGACAATTGAAAGACACACAGACCCATCAAGATTTTTACACTCTGCTGAAGTCTGAGCAATTCATCCTCCAATGAGAGGCGTCTTTAAGCTGCCATAACTAAAACGCCTTTTGTTTAATGTGCTAAATACATTTCAGTAAATCAGCACTTTTCTTGTTCCATTGTTATTACACATCACCCTTTTTTTTTTTTTTTTATTTGTTTTATTTTCATGTAAGTATCGTTTGGGTTTTACCAAAATCTGGTTCAGTTCCATGTCAACCGCTCCTTCAGAAATTCGCAGGAAAACTGGACAAACCATCTCATCCAAATTTAAACATTTTATTTTCACAAAAGATGCAAATTATTATTAAAACAACTAACCTACTTTAAATATGTAAAAGAAATCGCTTTTGTACATTTTATTTGATGGGGACACCAAAACAGGATGTTTAAGCCCAATCCCAATTTTATTTTTGTACCCCTTCCCATTAGCCCTTGAAACATAGGGTTAAGAGGAAGGGCTTCAAAATTTACCCCTAAAAAATAGGACAGCACTACAGCACCTGCACACATCACCATATGCTGTAGTTATTCCAGTTGTGTTACTTTTTTGTATTTACCTTTAGAAATTCACTGAATGAATTTATCATGTTATTATAATGATCCAATGTGGCAATAAGAGTAGTACTGTGTATTTACACAGTGGCCATATTCATCTATATAAACAAACAAAAGCAACTTTAACATTATAGCAGACACTGTGAAAAGCTCATTCACGACCACTAGTCTTTTCTGACAGAGTATTCGAGTGTCATCGAGTGTCTGATGAAAACGAATGTTGTGGGGCTACTATGTGAAGTTTCACAAACTAATTTCGAGAGGAGCACGTGATATGATCGATCGCAGCTGGTCTCTCATCTAGAATCATTAGTTAGCCAATCAGATTAATCCAAACTCACATTAAGTAGCCCGGCTAAAACTACTCCCTTGTCCTCGTTTTCTGAAGAAACCCCCCATCCACCCCATTTCCCCCTTCTCTCCTTTAAAAGAAGGAGCTCTCGAGAACTTTCTGATCTCGTACCTCCCTGCATGCTCATCGACCAGGCGGGAGCCCTGGGCTCAATTATCTCGGAGCTCAGGGTTCTCTCACGGGACAGCATGCCAAACCCCACTAATAGCCTCAAGCAATATCTAAGTGCGAACTCTTGAAACAGGAGTTATTATTAGAGATTATAGATTTAGCCTTTTTTTTAAAGCATTTTTTTTTAAAAAGCATGACAGTAAAACACAAACACTGTTATGAATGTAATAAAACATGTGCTTGTTAGTTAAACAAATTTGAAAATAATGACAAAAATACTAATTTGTGTATCTTCTGACTTCCGGGTGCAGCCCTGCTGCCGTTGTGGCTGGTGTATTCTGGGAAATTTTCGTACCCCTTGGATTCAAGTGTGGTCCTGAGAAATCTCTGTTTCAAGGGATATCTAGACCTTCCTTTTAACCCTACGCCTTAAAGCTAAAGAGAATTGGGACACCCCTACCCCTTCACATGAACGTGCAAAACGAGAGGTAGGGGTAAGGGGAAGGGCTAAAGGGTAGAATTAGGATTGTTGTAGTTAATTTATAATAGTTTATTCTAAATACCAAGCATAAAATGTGTTATATAAATGTGTCTCTCATTCATTAGGGACTAATCCAAATGTTTGTGCACTTTTAGGATTTTTTTCTATTAATGCTAAAAAGCTAATTTTAACGTTTAAAAAAAAACTTAAATTAAAACAATTTATTTCTAAATATTGTTACTTTATAAACTATATTTATAGAGCTAACTATAATTATCATGAAAACAATAACTAATTTGAACATAGAAGTAAAAAACACTTTTCCCCCCAGGTTCTGCAGGTTGCAAGGTCCCGAATTCTGCTTGCCAATCTTAAGCCAATTGTTATCAATTGTTTTGGTACAATTTGGAATTTCCCCAACCAGCGCAGAGCCCGGGGGACCAGAGGGAGTGCTCTGACTTGGCCCCGCCTAATCCAAAAAAGACTTTTAAAGATACTAAATAAATGCTGCTGTGAATGAAATGTACATGATTCTGTTCTGCTAAAATCAGCTTTTCCCCCAAAGTAATGTTGTAAGAATAACATGCAAAACCGAGCATCAGAAGCTCTTACAGCAGTGTTTCAGTGCACGTTACCTTATTTTTCTTGGGTGGTGGTGTGGCTTGTGAGTTCCTGGCTGTTTTTCGCGGTGGTGTCTTCAGACAGGTCAGATCTTCCTGTTCAGAGCAGCAGATCACTCCCATATCCAGAGGAATATCACTGAGACAAACACAAGAACAACAGCGCTGCATTAATGAAGGAACAGTAAACTGAGAAAAATATGATAGAAAACTTCCTTTTAATTTTAAATCTGTGTATTCTTCATTTCTCTGAGGAATAGAGAAGGAAAGACCCCAACTCTTGGATTGGCAACATCACAAGATACATGACAATGCAAAATTGATGAACAGATTCGTCTTTGGAGTCAAAGAAGGGCAAATCTACGGCTTTATTTCCTTTCAATGAAAGCATTTTACAGTTTCCTTGGTTGTGTTTTGGATTATTGTCTTGCTAAAAAGTCCACCCTGCTTTCATCTTCGCAATCCTGCTAATGTAGATGTTGGACTGAAGCAGGGCAAAGGATTACTGAAGAACTACTGAGAGATTTCAGCTGCTGTCTGGTCTTTCACTGCCTTTCTACACCTCCCTTTCTTCATGTGTTCCAATACTTTTTCCCGGCATCATTTCATTTTATTATACAAGTTTATTTGTAAACTATTTAGATTTGTTTTTATTTTATATATAGAGTTCTTCGTCAACATCTGGTGGAAAGTCAACGGCACCTTTGAAGAAAAACGATGATGTGTTGAATACTTATTTCCTCCACTGTCTGTCTGTCTGTAAGAACGATGTTCAACAGAACAAGGTAATTTTCACAGTATGTCTGATAATATTTTTTTCTTCTGGAGAAAGTCTTTTTTTATTTCAGCTAGAATAAAAGCAGTTTTAAATTAAGGTCAAAATTATTAGCCCCATCAACCTACATTTTTTGGAGGTGTTTTGAAAAATATCTAGTAAAATATTGTTTACTGTCATCATGACAAAGATAAAACAAAAATCTGTTATTATTAATGAAAACTATTATGTTTATAAATGTGTTGAAAAAATCTCTCCGTTAAACAAGAGTGGGTTAATAATTCTGACTTCAACTGTGTGTGTGTATATTGTATGTATGTATATATATATATATATATATATATATATATAAAATCTGTATTAATAAAATAAAAATAAATGAAAATATAAAACAAAAAAATATGTATTTTTAATAACAAAAATATAAAACATCTGTATCTGCATAAATAATTATTATATTTATTAATTTTTATTATTATTTAAAAACATTTATTTTAAAAAATATTATTTAAAACACAAGGTAATTTTACTTCATTTTGTTATAAACATTTTCATTGTACTTGTCATGACAGGCTTAATTTGGATAGTTTTTTCTCATGCAAAATAATTCTCCATATCTCACATTCCTTTATTGTATTTTGTTGTATGGAGGGAAATTGTGAAAGAGATTAGATCTACTTCAAATAACAGTATAAGCTTATGATTTTCAGAATGTATATAGAAGAACAGATCTGATTGCAGTTTTATGGTTTATTCAGTTGGAAAATGTATATATGTATAAAAAGAATAAGATGACAAAATAATGAGAGTTTATTTGAGGATTACTGTTGTGGATTAGCATTTATTGTTATGGATCGTTATTATTATCATTTTCTCAATAGACTGATTGGCGCGACTGTGCTTTCAAAATGGTTTTAGGGGTGGTCAAATGTATATTTATATTATCTATTATTTAAATTATTAAAATTATTATTTTAAATGCATATCAGAGTCAAATATTTCTCAGTAAAAATGGACTGACTCCCCTTTACATCATGTTTTGGCATCCATCAGGGTAGGATCAAGCCCAAAATGACTTTATGACATTTGTAGTAGTTCTAATTCTCATGCTAAGCTTATATGATGGAGTGAGTTTTACCTGTCCTCAGTGCAGTTCCCGTTGTGAGCAGAAGTGTGGTTCTCTGTGGATCTGCGTTTCCTCTTCCTGTAGTTGCCCGTCTCGTCGATTAGTAAAGGGCTGGTTGGGAGCAGCGGACTGCAGTTGGCGGATCTCGTGACGGCTGTGGACGACTCCTCGGATACAATGGACACAGTCTCAGTGCTTGCAGACACAGCTTCAACGTGATTGGAGGAAACCTGTTCGGTCTTGACTTCAGCTAGAGAGTCTGTGTTCTCTGGCTTGATGCTCTCCGGCTTGATGGTCTCTGGCTTGATGCTCTCTGGCTTGATACTCTCCGGCTTGATGCTCTCCGGCTTGATCTCTGTGGACTCGAGGCTCTGTTTAGCAGGTCCGTTCGTGTTTGTATTTGTTTCTGCAGATCCTTCATGTGTGCTGCTGAGCGGAGACTGCTCCTCATCCTCTTCTGTGTCCTGAACAGAGGATTTGATTGACAGAGGAGAGCTTTCATTGATTGGCTGATCGTTGTCACTGATGTTAGCAGGCTCCTCTTCCACATCTTCTTCATCATCTTCTGAAATTGGGAGAAATCAGGGTTAACTCAGTGAAATGAGGTGATTTCTAGCTTTTGGAGATGATTTGTTCACTTCTTACCTGGACCAGCTTGTTGTTCGCTGGCCTGGATTTCGTCTTCAATGTCAGGATCTGAAGAATCGTCCTCTTCTTCGTCTTCCTCCTCTTCTTCTTCATCTTCCTTCTCTTTTTCTTCTTGCTCCTCCTTTTCTTTTTCTTTGCTTTCACTCTGTTGCCCATTAACAGCCTGTACAAAAAATAGGAAAGATTTATATTAGTGTGTGGTTTCAGACTTGCATATGAATAAAATAAGCTTGACTGTCTTGGAAATACAGAAACAGGATTTAGTAAAATATTTTACGTTTTTTTTTAATGAATAATAAAATAGTTGATTCATTAAAAATATTTTTTACTTATAAATTATTACAATAATTAATTTTTTCAAAGAAATAGAACTTTGTAAATAGTTTGAATTAGATTTTTTAAAATTGTTTTTTAATAGAGAGAATAAAAGTTATATTTATATATATATTTATATACACTAAAGTGCACTGCAACGGGAGCACAACTGTAATCATGTAAAACTTTTTTATTTTTAAACATTCCAACTTTGAATTTTAGAATGTTCTAAATTAATAGGGCATAGGGGGATAAATGGAAATAGAAAACAGCCAAGAACTATGTTTTTTAACTACAGCTCCAGAGGTGTAGTTTCATGTGCTCAAGTATGCGAATGTTTGTTGGAGCGATGGATTTGGAAAAGGGCAAATCAACGAACTATGTTTGTAACGACGGAACTTGCAAACTTAGTTTGCTAATGATGGTTTTGGGAAAAGCACCCCTGAATAGTAATACTAAACAAGTTAATCTTCTTAACAGTAAGACTCTGAGCTAAGATACCGAATTTCGCTCTGTGCTACCATCACAAAGGGTCTCAAAATAAAAATAAATAAAAAAACACAGGGACCTTAACCCTTAATAGTCCATCTTGATGGAATTTTCACAAACCCTTTGCAAACAGCTCCCTATTTATTTGCACTTGACACTTTCTTGTCAACACTCCATGTTTCTGGGAAAACATTGTGCAATTCTGAGTATGTTTCATGCAGTTGAGTGGGCTTGACAAACCACCTGTAGGAGCAGACACTCTTTTTCTCTCCATATGCACCAGACACTTTTCTACAAAAGCTTTATTACTAGGACTCAATAATAACTATAAACTAAACTAAGAATTGTCATGGCATCTATACATTGCTAAGTGTTTTTTTCATCCTCATTAGTAAGTCGCTTTGGATAAATATGTCTACTAAACTAAGAAATGTAAATATGAACATTTATAATCTTCTGTAGATTTTTGGATATATGAACAACAAGAAATGCTTCATTCGTTTACCTCTTTTTTCAGTCTTTCTCTGTCTTGTCTTTTCTTGGTTTCCTCCACTTCCATATCCTCCTGTTTATTGGCGTATTTGTTGATGACCTCCTCCAGGCTGCTGATGGCCACGTCTCTATTAGAGCGGAGTTTACGATGCAGTGCTGGGTCCATGAGTGCAGGGTCTAATGCTGGAGAAACACACATTGCATGACCAACTGCACTCCATCTGCAGACTGATGAACTGAAAAATATATATTTTTATACTAATAATTTTTAATAGGAGGTTGATTTGAGATTGATTCTCAAAAGCTGTAAAATATTTTCTAAATACATTTTTCTATATAAAAAATATATATTTAAACGGTCAAACACTTGAGTGACCATAAAATACAGGTTTATGTATTAAAATGGCAATTTGGTTAGTATTCATGTGAAAAAAATTATTTGAATCTAAAGTTGAAGCAATTCAGGAGACATAATCAATGTATAAAGTCTTAAAGCGACCACAGTCTAATAATTTAAATTTTTATGCCTTTAAAATTAACCAAAGAAAAGATAAAAATAATGAAACATTTAATACACTTTGCCTGCATATTTTTCCTAGCTTTACTAACATGTATTTAATAACTTAATTGAACTATTTTGAATCTACCAATATTTATACATTAGTGTTGCCACATTAATGGAATTTCCGACATCGATACGATACCTTGAAAAATATCAATATTTGAAACAGCGGAGAACAAATTCTGCAAAATTAAAAGTATCCAAATGAAGTAACAATATATTGTTTAACCATCGATATCACAATGTGATCGTTCGCAATAGTCACATCGCAGGATATGCAATGTTGAGTCTGGATTATAATTGATCATTTTGCAAGTGTTTTTTAAGGACTGTGACTGTGTGAGGGTTTTAAAAGCATTCAGGCCTAAAAAATTGTATTGTTTGTAACCTTGAAAAATAAAAAACGATTACAATAACGATCTAACTGTTTATAAAACTAAGACTATGCAGTAATATTTTTAGATTTGATTATTCATTCTCCATTAACCTGAATATATTTTGACTCTTCGGAAAACAATAAAACAAGGTTTATTTATTAGCATATTTTTCTTTATTGAATTTATCCATTCTTGTAGACTGTTTATTATATTTTATGCACTCCCCTACAGAACATTTGCAATCAAACTAAAATTATAGATTCTTTACAAACATTTATTCAACTCATCTAGTGAAATAGTATTAATATCGCAAAATATATCAAAGTGTAATTTTTCCAATATTGTGCAGCATAGTAAAAAAAACAACAAAAAAAAAACAATACTAAACCATGTTATGCACATATCAAGTTTTCTCAGCAGTCCTATATATAAAATATATAAAACAACAAAATTAGCACAATCTCATTTAATATTCTGCTTAAAACAAAAGTGTTAAAAGTCTTATTATTAATTATTCATTTCCCTGCTGGTATCAAAACCAACCAAAAGTTGGTTGGTACAAAAAGATTGTACCATTTTAAATATTTAAGAAATGATATTTATTGATTTTTTATCAATATCAAACACTATACATACATGTTTTTAAGTGTATGCATGAATATAAAATGGGGGCCACCGTCTTTGAAACCCTGTGCTATTTTTCATATTATTATCACTCCTTCTCACATTCATCTGATAAAAAGTCAAATAAAATACACATGCACCTGATCACTTTCTAGAAATATCAATAGCATTTGTATTAAAGTATTTGTATTTCCACTGTATGCAGCATCCGGTCATGCACCAGCCGGCTGAAGGAAAGTTTCTTCCCTCAGACTATCAGGCTGATGAACACTTAACACACCCACACACAGACTCTTCCATAACCCTTACAGCAAACCATCAAAATGTAGCATGCACTGCACTTTAACCAATCCATACTTGAAACAAAACTACCTACAACGATGTGGACACCTATTCATTGTACATATCGCTGTCAATTTCACATTGTCACTGTGTTTGCACTGTCTGTATTTTGCACTGTCGTTGTATTTGCACTGTATCTGTATTTTGTCGTGTCTGGAGTCAGCACCTAAGCTTTTCACTCATCATAGCACACATGCTGCTGATGATGCGACAATAAAAGTGATTTGATTAGCAAATTCCCTGACTTTTCTGATTTTCACCTACTAAAACGCTAAATTTCCATGACCCAGACACCTTACTTTTCACTCAAGAGCAGTGTAATTTAATTATATTTTGATTAATGGGAAGTACTATTTAAAACGTATAAATAAAAATCCATAACTTGCACAAAAAACCCCCGACTTTTAATGCCTGCAATAGAACTTTTAAAACGGATTAAATCTACATTTACTGAATCGATTGCTTATGAATCAGAATCTCAATCAATGCCCACCCCTAGTTTGAATCATCAAAAATTCAAGTCATTAGATTATTACAATATGAGCTTTTCCTTCTGAATTAGACAGTTATTAAATGAAACTGATTTACTTGGTTTGTATGGATCTGTGAGATGAGAGCCGAAGTTGTAGACCATGTCAAGGTGTCGTCTCTCCTGTAGTTTGTTGCCCGTCTCTCTGAAGGCTTCTTGGGAGATCTGTGCTTGCTGTTTGCGGGAGAGCTGGAGATTGTAGCGTTCGTTGGCTCTCTGCACAATCTTCAGGATATCGCTGTAGTCTGGAGGATTGAGAAGAGCTTCTGAACTGTTGATGAAACGCTCAACCTGCTCAACAAAAAGAGAAGAAACAATAAGAGATAATGAGAGAGGAAAAGGTTTGGGTAAACATTGATTCATTTATTAATATTAGGCCCCTGGAATAGGCTAGTTCAATAAGCATTTTTGAGTTTTATCAGGAGGCATTTAATGTAAACATAAAATAAAATAATATTCTCAAATATAATAACACAAACATTTAAATTAATTTATAATTGATTTAATTAAAGTAAATATATGACAAAAACTAAACTTATTTTTATTTCTGCAAGTTACAAAGAAACTATACAAATAAAAGTATAACAACAAAAAATAACAGGAAAATATCATAATCAAACTAATAAAGCTTAAATTAAAAACAGATAATCGAAAAATAACACATTTATTTAATCAACAAATATTTTAAAATCATAAATATTCCATTAAACTGAATTAATTTAATTTAATTTAAGTAAATGTACTAATTTCTGCACTATTGAATTATAAAATATTAAGGTTACAGTAGTTAATGAAAACCAAAATAATTAGTTAATAATTAAATAAACCTTAACTTATAATTTTAAATACATCACAAAAACTAAACTTTTATTTCTGCTAGCTGCCAGGAAACTATAATAAATAAAAGTATAACATCAAAAATAACTACAAAAGACCATAATCAATAATAATTTAAATTCAAAGCAGTTAATCTAAAAATAACACATTTTAAACTATAGCAAATACTACAATCGTTACTTGATGATGCTAAAAGAAAACCAATCCATACTTATGAACCATTTTTGATCCCTAAAACAATGAATCTTCAAGCAAATACAAATCAATGATATTATAAATCATGTTTTACTTGAAATAAACACACAAAATAAAACAGTATTAAAAAGAATCATCTGATCAATGATCGCTATCATACATAAATCTCTATTTATTTCAAATTTTCTAGCCTATGCTTTAAGGGAATTTATTATAAACTAATTAAAACCTGAGCTAAAACTCCCCTCTTTTTAGAGAGTCTAGATATTAGTTTTTAAATTGCTTTAATGTATGAAAATAAAGTAAAAAAACTGTCCAAGCAAAAGCCCGCACCTTCTTGTTGATCTCTGGGTATCTCGTTCCACTGTATGGGATCTTCTGCTCGATCACTCGACCCGTCAGAGTGTTACAGCCTTTCAGCTCACACAGCTTCTCATAGATCTTCATCATCTGACACCACAAAAACAGCTATAACAACTTCTGAACGTTCACAACTTCTGCTATAGATTTCATAGATTATACATCAAAACAGATTTAACTGAATCTTTGAATACAAGTTAAAAAAATGGCAGAAGTGAATGGGGTTTGTAATCATGTAATTTTTTTAAAGAAAATGTTGCCATTTTTTAATTTTTTGTTGCAAGTAATTTTACTGATATTGTATGTGTAGTAATGTGTTTTTGATTTAAGGTTGGAGCGGTGCATTGGGTAAGCTAAATTGTCTGTAGTGTACGTGTGTGAATAATAGTGTATGGGTGTTTTCCAACGATGGGTCAGCTTGAAGCACATCCACTGCGTAAAACATATGCTGCATAAAATGGAGGTTCATTTCTCTGTGCCGACCCCACATTAATAAAGGGACTAAGCCGAAAGGAAAACGAATATATGCCTGGCAGGAGGCAACAGATGAAATTTAAGGGCAAACTCACACTGTACAGTTGCCTTGAACCAGGCCAAAGCACGCTTGTCCCCCTTCCGTCTCCCCCGACGGCCCGCACTCACATTACATTCAGGCCTGGGCACCCTTACGTCATCGATGCTGTACTGTTCAGTAAGCGCTTTCGCTCAGCACAGTGGACATTTCTTAATCAGTTGTATTGTTTAAGTCATTTAGAATGCGGTGACACGCAGTAAAATATTTCGCCGAACAGATCCATGACTTTTGACGCTCATAAACAATCATAAAGACCTCGTGCTGCAGGAATTAGGAGGTTTGCTGAAGGTGCAGCTGTCGTGCAGTGAGGGGTTTGCGTCTTTAAAATCTACAACAGTTTGTGTTCATTGAACAGTACGAATGATAATAATGCCATATTAAACAGTCTTGTAAAAGTCACGTCTCATCTTCAGTTTCGGCCTCTGGTGCACTTTGCTCATATATATATGACATTTAACCGTGCCTGAGCCCGATTCAGAGCACTCACACTTCTGAAATGATCCGGGAAACCCTGGGCACGGTTCGAATAGCATAGTGTGAGTACGCCCTAAAATTCTTGTGACTAACTTTGGCTAATTTAAAGTTTTTCTCTTTGAGCATTGTCCCGGCTAAATAAATACAGAAAGAACTAAAATCAGGAATAAACAAGCTGACCTTGCGTTTAAGTTTGTGCTCTTGAATATAACTGGAATCTTCTTTCTCCAAGTCATCCAAACTCAAATCCCCCTCCTGAAGCCGGCGGATCTCCTCATTATACACTTTCAACAGGTTTTCCAGATACGCAATCTGAAAAATGAGAGACACACAAATTACTGTAACCGTAAAATAGACACACTTATTTGTTTTCCTGTGATTTTTTGTTTCTTTTATAAATATTTTCCTAGTGATGTCTAACAGAGCAAGGAATTTTTCACAGTATTTCCTATAATATTTTTTCTTCTGGAGAAAGTCTGACTGATTTTATTTTAGCTAGAATAAAAGCAGTTTAAAAAGGTCAATATTATTATCCTCTTAAGCTATATATTTTTTAGATTGTCTGAAGAACAATCAACAAGTCATACAATGACCTGGCTAATTACCCTAACTTGCCCTAATTAAACCTTTAAATGTGACTTTAAGCTGCATACTAGTATCTTGAAAAATATCTAGTCAAATGTTCGGTACTGTCATCATGACGAAGACAAAAGAAATCAGTTATTAGAGATGAGTTTCTATCATGTTAAAATAATGTGTTGAAAAAATCTTCCTTCCGTTAAACAGAAATTAGGGGAAAAGGAGGGCTAATAACTCCGACTTCAACTGTATATGGTTAACTTATCTTACAGTACCTGTCTTCTCGAAGCTCTTTTGGTTTTCTTTGACTCCTCTTCCTGCTGTTTGACATCTTTTCCTCCGTCTTGTTCACCCTGAGTGTCCTCTTTAACATTAACCCCATTGCTCTTCTCCTCAGGTTTGGCCTTGACAGAAAGCGACTGTATGGAGCTTCTCTTCCGCGGCGTGTGCTGCTTCAGAACAGTGCAGAGTTCATTAATGTAGACGAAGGTTTTGCCAGCGTTGGCCTGGGCTCGAGTGAGGCAGCGGCCCAAAGTGTTACGAAACTCCACAGACGTCAGAAAGGTCGGCAAAGCCTTGGAGTATCTGGTCTGCAGGTAAGTCATGACTTCTGGATGTTCTTGCGAGTGTTTTGAGCAGTGCTCCACAAACTGGAGGAACAGGATTGGAGTAGAAGCGAGACAAGAAAGAAGGCAAAATAAACAAAATTTTAGTAGGATAACAAAAAGAATATTTCTGTTATCATTTACCCACTCTTTACTCTTTTTAAATCTTCATAAGTTCTTTCTCTTGTTAAACACAAACAAACATATTTTGAGAAATGCTGTAAACCTGTAACATTGACTTCTATAGTATTTGTTTTCCTACTATTGAAGTCAACTGCTACAGGTTTTCAGCATTCGTCAGAATGTCTTCTTTTATTGTTCAACAGATAAAGGACTAAAATCCTTTAGGGTAATATCATTTATCGGCCCAGCCCTACTTGAGGGTGAGTAAATACTGAGTAAATGTCATTTTTAGGTGAACTATCCCTTATATTTACAGCTGGCGTACATTTTTTTTTAATACTGGGGTATTGTTTTATCATTTAAAAACAAAAACATATATTTCAGACCACCTTATAGAATGCATTTAACAAAGTATGCTAGACAAGTGCAACTGTTTTATATGGTGCCTAATAAGAGAGATAAAAATAAAAAGAGAAAATTATGATTTTAGGCATCATCATAATAAAAGAATCATATAATTCCTACATTAGAATTGTGTTAAAGCATTAAATGAGACATGCAATGTTAGTTTTATTTTTTCTGAGCAAAGAATAATGACTATCCTACATTTTTACCATTTTCAGATTTTTAATTAATATATTTTCCGTACAAAAGACAGACACTCAAATGTCTTAAGGTGTTGGTACAGTTTATCTATCAAAAATATTATTAAAAGTTTATAAAAATCAATTGAAGATCTATTAGAAGATTTAAAATGCGGTCTCAAAATACTATTTAACTCAGCTGTCAAAATATATTGCGATAAATGATATTATTGTATTTTAAGACCATTTCTTATTAACACCACTCATTATAAAAGGCCAGAATGACAATATAATATCACCAAATGCAAGTACACTCATGTCCATGTGTTGTGCAATAAGTGGATACAGTTGAAGTCAGAATTATTAGCCCCCATTTGAATTTTTTTTTTTCTTTTTTTTTAAATATTTCCTAAATGATGTTTAACAGAGCAAAGTAATTTTCACAGTATGTCTGACAACAGTTTTTATTCTAAACAAAGTCTTATTTGTTTTATTTGGACTAAAATAAAAGTTTCATAATTTTTTAAACACCATTTTAAAGACAAAATTATTAACCTCTTTAGGCTAATTTTTGTTTCGATAGTCTACAGAACAAACCATCGTTATACAAAAACTTGCCTAATTACTCTAACCTGCCCAGTTATCCTAATCAACTTAGTTAAGCCTTTAAATGTCACTTTAAGCCATATAGTAGTGTCTTAAAAAATATCTAGTCAAATATTATTTACTGTCATCATGGCAAAGATAAAATAAATCAGTTATTAGAAATTAGTTAATAAAATTATTATGATTAAAAATGTGTTGAAAAAAAATCTCTCTGTTAAACAGAAAATGGGGAAAAAATAAACAGGGAGGCTAATAATTCTGACTTCAACTGTAGATTATTGTGACAGATCTAAAAATTACTGTAAACAAGCATACCTCATTGAACAGTTTCTCATTCTCCACTTTCAGCACGTGTGTGTCCTTCTTCGCGCTGGCGAATGGAGACTGTGTGATGTGTGTGGGAGCCGGCACCGGCTGACTCTTCACTGGTGTTTTTAAGTGTTGCGCTGTGGCTTGAGAACAGGATGCAGACGTGGAAGCTGCTTCTTCATCGTCATCATCGAGGATCACAATGCTTTCCATCCCTGCTCCGGCCATCCGGAAGGGAGGAGAACGAATTTGCTGAGGAGTAACGAATGTGGAGGTGTCAGGCCTGCATTTCAACTACACCAAACACCTGAAAACATACCAGTTACTATTTATGGCTGTGTCGTATTTAGGCCCTGTTATTTCTATGATGTTGAAAACATGAATTGAATTGAATTGTTGAGGAAGTTGGAGCTAAACCCTGCAGGGACACCGGCCCTCCAGAACCAGGATTGGTGACCCTTGGTCTACGATAAGTATTATAATATAAATATAATTTCACAACATTGACTTATAACTCTGTTTGGAAAGAATTCTTAGTTTTAGATTCATTTGGATAATTTTGTAGGCAAATAAATTATGTATAAGATATAAAAAGCTTAGATGAATACAACAGCATAAAGAAGCTAATTAAATAAACTGTGTTTTTTACATTTTTTTGTGGAATCTAACATAATTCAGGAACAGAAAATCAAGAATTATATGTAAAATAACACTATATAGTGTTCAATGTATAAAAAAATAAATAAACAAATAAATGAATCGTTGTGAAAGCTTCAAACTTAATAACGTCTTAGTTTAAATTTCCTTGAAATCCTAGTCACAGGTCTTAAAAAAAAAAAACACATCCAAAAACAATCTTTCACAGTTAGGGTTTAGTTTTATTCACAATTAATTATACTCCACAATTAAAATCTCAACTCAACATTGGAGATCCTGCGATGTGACTATTGCAGATTCATACATTGCAATACTGATGCTGAAACAATATATTCTTCAGCCCTAATCATAACTATATATAAAAATAAAAATAATTACACAACATTTTATTCATGTTTTAATCTTAAAATGATTTTTAAAAATGAAGAATATTTCAGATTACCTAAATATGAAATTGTATAATATAATTGTATTAATATATATTTGTAACAGCAAAAAGCTTGTCCTGTTCATCGAAATGTATCTTTTTAATTACTAAAATGTAATTCAACCATTAAAACTGAAAACGTTTTTAAATTAAAATGGGAAAAAAGACATTTTGAGTTATAAAATAGGGGATTTCTGGGCAATGTTTTTTTTCCTTTAAAAAAAAATATTCAGTTTTGATGGCCAAATAAGCTTTCAGTAATCAAAAGTTTGTAACAGTTTCACTTTACTCCAATGAAAAAGGAATGTAAAGGTTAAAATGAAAAGGAGTTATATGGCCTTAATATGAACAACATTTAAATGTCAAATCAATTTTTAAGTGAAACTGAAACTAGCAGGATGTAAGAAATGTACAAGGGACAAGGTGATATTTTTGGGTGTATTTTACAGAACAGCATATCCAAGAGCATGGTTTATCTATCATGACATCAACACAATAGGTATGCGTTTTAAATATTTAATATTTATGTATTCTGCTTGTCTGTACATACTTGAGCACTGAGCATTGAATTGATCAAGACAGTCAAAATCCAAACTGGTGTTTCAAAATCAGCATTTACCTGGAAAACAATAATATCAACAATGTCATTTTTGGGACAAACGCTTAAACGCATAACCCTTTAACTCCCCAACCAAGAATAGTTTTGGAATTCCATTTCTTAACTCCCAATGTCGATAGTTAACACGTTTAATGAATTTTTGTCAACACATCCCATAATTTCTAAAATATCAACCTCTACCAAATGGTTAATATGTTGGTTTATTTACAGTAAACGTACCTGGAATAAATACATATACTGTAATATGAAAAATCTGAAAACATGAACTGTATAAGACCAATGTATTAAAAAATAAATAAAAAATTCAAAATAAAACATTTTTGAACACTAAATCATCTTTACTTTTTGAAGTATGTCATAAATTACCTCAGATTCTACTTTAATACGATTTCTGGTTGAGTTTGCTTTACAATAAAACCAAAATCAAATGTAGACGTGCAACAGGATTATATTTGCTTAATTTTTTTTTGTAAACCAACAATGCCGTGTGTGTAACCATTATTTAAATTGAGGTAAAGCTGGTGATATATTTGCACATTCATTCATTTAACGATCTCTAAATTGTTTACCACACTACTTTTAATATTAGGTCTGAAATTGCATTTACGTATGACTTCAAAACAACATAAGCACCATTTTATTGACTGTGAACAATGTTCTACATTGATAGTCATCGGCTGCTAATATAATTTCTCCATTTAGAATTTGCAAATACTTTTATGAGATTATATTAAGGAGAAAGTCCAAATGTGGAAATAGAAAAACTTCATCTACAGCTGAGGTCAGAATAATTAGCCCCCCTTTGATATATATATATATATATATATATATATATATATATATATATATATATATATATATATATATTTTTTTTTTTTTTTTTTTTTTTAATATATTTCCCAAATTATGTTTAACAGAGCAAGGAAATTTTCACAGTATGCCAGATAATACTTTTTCTTCAGGAGAAAGTCTTATTTGTTTTATTTCGGCTAGCATAAAAGCAGTTATCTAGTCAAATAATATTTACTGTCATCATGGCAAAGATAAAATAAATCAGTTATTAGAAATGTGTTATTAAAACTATTATGATTAGAAATGTGTTGAAAAAACCTGCTCTCTGTTAAACAGAAATTGGAGGAAAAAAATAAACAGAGGACTAATAATTTAGGGGGGCTAATAATTCTGACTTAAACTGTATATAATTTCTGTCAAATTTGTAATTAACATTAATTACTGTAAAATGAACAAGCTCTAATTCCATAGATGAAGTGAACAATATCACATTAAGTGTTTTCTCCCCATTGAAATCCAAGTAAGGAATAAGATAAGCTTAACACGGCTTAATGTTCCTTAACAATAAGCAGTTAGGCTTTTTTTCTCATAACAGACTTAAATAGGGGAGAAAACACTTAATGTGAAATTATTCACTCTGTTCACTTTATCTATGGAATAGAGTTTATTTGACGTAAATTATGACAGATATGTGGGTTTCTCTGGTTGTTGTTGTTGTTCTGATATACTAAGCCACGTTTAAAATGTCCCTATTTTTCTGAATTGAAGAGAAAACATTACATAGTTAAACGAAATACTATAATTAAATATCTAACCAGAATTTTAAAGACAGGAATCTTAAAATCGTAGCCAAATGCTACTTCATATTGCTAGCTTTCGATCATGTGATAATGTGACACAACTATGATGATTCACACACAACAAACTCGGTTAACTAGTACTTATGATTCGTCACCATCTTGATAAAAAGAATTATCAGACATTAAACAAAACCACACAAGACGTATAACATGTATCTATATCCAATAATATGCCTCCACATCCGTCTCCTATAACACAATAACAATACGAGTGAATTTGAGCGGTAACTATGTTTATGATGTCTTTTGACTGACTTAATACCATATCAACCAGATTTAACTGGATGTGTCAATGAGATTTTCACACTGTTTACACTTAACATAAATATAAATGTAATAATTTCAGTTATTTTGCCTTTTGGTTTGAAGACTGTAGCTCTTTAATTCGGACATGCCATACAGACTCCTTCCGTTTATTTGTTAAAAGCATTAAAACGACGATAGCTAAGGTGTAATTTCATATTTGTCAGTTTCCTCACAACCTTCGCAAACGCTTCGTGATTATGTTTAAAATAAAGTCTTATTCGAAGTCGATCAATAATAGACAAAAAACACGAACTTACGCGCTCGGATCCTGAAACTCGGCGCTGGATCTTTGTACAGCTCAACATGCGGCGCGCTGGTTCGCTGACGGTCAGTATACTGATCGCTGATTGGGTGAATGCTTTGCTTTTCTTCTGCGATCTGTTTGCTACGCTAATCATTTAGATGCGTATCAGCGCCTCGTAGGGAACTGGAGACTCTAGAATAAACTGATTGTACAGTTCTTCAGATAACAATAACATGATGTGGTAATGAAGCAAATTTAATTTCTTAGCGCTAGCAGGTGCTCATCTAGTGTTTTGCTTCTCCAGAAACAAAACTGATACTTATCAGGGAGCCACTAGTAGTGTGAGGGTTGAATTCTACAATTATTATGTGCTGGCTACCTGAGAGTAAAAGAAAATAAAGAAAACAGGCAATAAAAATCTCTATTATTTTTCCAAACACCAGACCAGAGGCCTACATTTTGAAGAAAATTAAATAAAATAACAAATTAAATAAATAAGCTGAATTATTAATTGTTAACTGTATTAACCCTTTGATGCACAAGCTATAAAATAGATATAGAAAAAATAAGCAGAGACAGGTCACTTTAGACCCATTTAGTGCATCAAAGGGTTAATAATGAGTTGATTATTAATTAGAAATAATTAATCAATTTATAGAGCAATGTTTTTCAAAGATTTATTTTATATAAAGTAGGCCTTAATAGCATATCATAAAAAGCACAATCAACAGATTAACCTTTTAAAAATGTATTTAAAATACATTTCAAAATTAAATAAAAATACAAAATCCCAAGGGTGACACAGTGACCACAGAGTGGTGGAAAGAGTACTGAAAAATCATAAGTAAAAGTACCATTACTTGCCTAAAAATGTAGAGCAAGTAGAGTAAAAGTATAGCTGTTGTAAATATTACTTAAAGTATGAGTAAAAAGTACCTCCTATATGCAATTTGACAATAAAAGACAAGACAAAGAAAAAATAAAGTAGTAACTGCAGGTTGAAGGAAAGTGGTGGCGTAAACGTACAGATAAAGCACTAAACATGTACTCAAGGGAAAGTGAAAGTACACATTTATAAAACTACTTAGTAAATTACAATTCCTGAGAAAAAATACTCAAATACAATAATTTGAGTATTTGTAGTTAGTTACTTTACACCACTAGTGCTTAGCACTGTCGCCTCACAGCAAGAAGGTTGAGTGCCAGCTGGGTCAGTTGACATTTCCAAAGATAACATGCTCCAGTTTCTCACATAGTCCAAAGACATTCGCTATAGGTGAATTGAATAAACTAAATTGGCTGTAGTGTATGTGTGTGAATAAGTGTATGGGTGGTTCCCAGTACTGGGTTGCATCTAGAAGGGCATCCCCTGTGTAAAACATATGCTAGATAAGTTCCTGGTTCATTCCACTGTGGCGACCCCTGATGAATAAAAGGACTAAACCGAAGGAAAATGGATGAATAAATGTTTTGGAGGCATGTTTTGGAGTTCAAAGTCTAATGTAAGAAATGTTTTATTACTAAGTGCATGCATGGTTTAATTATAAGCACAACAGGAGAACAATAGTAGAATGCACTTTTGGAACTGGTATTGGATCATTGTTGGCACTTTGAAAAGGAAATGTTGGCAATGCCGGCAGTTAGCTCTCTGCGACTCTCACATGGTCGCCTACTGAAGCTAAACAGGGCTGCACTCGGTCAGTACCTGGATGGGAGACCACATGTGAAAGCTAGGTTGTTGTCAGAAGTTTTGTTGATGAGACCCAACCTGTGGTCTGTGTGGGTCCTTATGCCCCAGTATAGTGACAGGGACTCTGTACTGCTCAGTGAGTGCCATCTTTTGGTTGAGATGTTAAACCAGGGTCCAGACTCTCTGTGGTTGTTAAAAATCCCAGGAAGTCCTTTGAAAAAGGGAAGGGTTTAACCTAAATCTGCCCACTGGCCTTTGTCTATCATGGCCTCCCAACAATCCCCATGTCATAATTGGCTTCATCATTCTGTCTCCTCTTCACCAATCAGCTGGTTTGTTGTGTGCGGTCTGGTGCAATAAGGCTGCCGTCGTGTCATCCAGGTGGATGCTGCACACTGGTGGTGGATGAGGAGATTCCCCCAATGAGTAAAACGGTTTGAGTGCCCAGAAAAGCGCTATATAAATGTAAGGAATTATTTTTATTGTTAATAATAATTATGCTGAACAAAATGTATTATGACGGATGTGTTTGGAGATCAAATGTGTGTTTTCCACCATTATTTCAGTCGGATGCAACGTGGCACAATGTTGATGATCGGCATTCATAAGTTCTCAAGTGACATTCCTGAGCTGACTTCAGTCATATGCAGTGTTTAGTGTCTCAATGAAGAACGGTTGCTGTAATCAAAAACACACACACAAAAAAAATGAAAGCAAAAGTAAGAAGTTTTACAATGAATTATGCTTTCCTTTTAAACTTTTAAAACTATACAATAAAGCCCATAAACCATTATGTGTTTGTTTCCTCTTTGACAAGTTTTCACACCTTGACCATTCATTCATTCATTTCCTTTTCGGCTTAATCCCTTTATTAATCTGGGGTCGCCACAGTGGAATGAACCGCCAACTTATCCAGCATATCTTTTACGCAGCAGATGCCCTTCCAGCTGCAACCCATCTTTGGGAAATATCCATGCACATTTATTCACATGTAAATGTTTCTTCTTGCATTTTAGGAGACAAAGAAATGATGAAGAAATGATGATTGTCGTGATGTTGATCTTGTTCACAAAAATACACCTAAACACACACAAATACGCACGCACGCACACACACTAACTTGTTGGGATCATATACCTCTGGGATAGATCTTTCTTATGGTTGTAAGTGAATTATGTCTCTAAAGAAAATCATTGGTTTCTTTAAAGTTTTTGTTAATTTTGTTGTTTTTATTATCATGTAAATCACATTGATCACAAAAAAAAAAAACATTTTCTGCAGGAGATATAAATAAATTAAGAGATGGTTTCTGGCACCAAATGCAAACACCATTAATGAAGCTTTCAGAAAATGGTAAAAATTCAGTCCTTTGTGCAGTTTGTGGTGTCCATCAGTTTAAATAATCAACCAACATTTGAGCTTTATATTGAGTTATTTTGGGTCTTCTTCTGTTTGTATATGTTCTTCTTTTTATTTCTTTATTTTTAATGATTTACAGTTATACAGAGTAATGATTGGTTCCTGCTTGAAATAATTTGTACATTCAGAACCAAGTAAACCTTTACATCATTAGTAAAACAGTACAGTAAATAATATTTTTCTTTTATTGAGGTTATACATTTAAGATCAGTGCCTAATTATTTTGTGTTATCTGACTTTACAAAAATTGTTGAAGGAGTGGATTTTCTGATGGATGTACACTCCAGGATGGAGTAACACATATCTTTTTTTATATCACATTATATCACACATATCCATTTTATGATATATAATAATAATGTTGAATTTGCTTTTAAGAGCCTATTATATATTGACATTAGTGCCATCCCTCTTCAGAGTAAAACTTTAGTCTGTCTCATTGCTTTTTATGTATGCCGAGTTATTTGTTTTTTCGGGATCTTCAGGCACATTCAAGAGGTCACTGAGACCTCTCATGTGGAACTAGATGTTTGCTGCTATAGATATTTATTGTACTGCTAGAAAGCAAGACATCCCTTGTAGTAGATAAGTATTTACTTTGTGTATGTGTGTGTGCTCTTCATTATTGTGGGCGACTGGAAGACTGTAGCTGAATTTCACCTCTGGTCATCATGACCACAGAAATATCCTCCTGTTATGTCTGACCTTTGTATTTGACGAAATCATTAGAGATATTCTCCGGAATTGTACAAACACTTGGACATTTTTAAGTTTATCTGTAATTTAACCAGAGGTTACAACTTAATTAATACCTCAATAGAGTGTTTTGTTTTTATATGTAATATGGCTGTTAAGAAGACTGATCTCAGAACTGTAGTTATTGCTCATTGAGTGAAGGAACTTAAAGAAACTAAAAAAAAAAACTCAAAAAAAGCTTTTGTGTGAAAATCAATATTTTTTTAAATATCATATTTAGTGTTTATATCAAAATAAGCAGAAATTTAGTGTTTTTATTATTTCTGGGACAAAATTAACAAGTACTGAATATATATATATATATATATATATATATATATATAGATAGATAGATAGATAGATAGATAGATAGATAGATTAAAACAGTTTATAAATAGATAGATAGATAGATAGATAGATAGATAGATAGATAGATAGATAGATAGATAGATAGATAGATAGATAGATAGATAGATAGATAGATAGATTAAAACAGTTTATAAATAGATAGATATATAGATAGATAGATAGATAGATAGATAGATAGATAGATAGATAGATAGATAGATAGATAGATAGATAGATAGATAGATAGATAGATAGATAGATTAAAACAGTTTATAAATAGATACATAGATAGATAGATAGATAGATAGATAGATAGATAGATAGATAGATAGATAGATAGATAGATAGATAGATAGATAGATAGATAGATAGATAGATAGATTAAAACAGTTTATAAATAGATAGATAGATAGATAGATAGATAGATAGATAGATAGATAGATAGATAGATAGATAGATAGATAGATAGATAGATAGATAGATAGATTAAAACAGTTTATAAATAGATAGATAGATAGATAGATAGATAGATAGATAGATAGATAGATAGATAGATAGATAGATAGATAGATAGATTAAAACAGTTTATAAATAGATAGATAGATAGATAGATAGATAGATAGATAGATAGATATAGATAGATAGATAGATAGATAGATAGATAGATAGATAGATAGATAGATAGATATAGATAGATAGATAGATAGATAAATAGATAGATAGATAGATGGATAGATGGATAGATGGATAGATAGATAGATAGATAGATAGATAGATAGATAGATAGATAGATAGATAGATAGATAGATAGATAGATAGATAGATAGATAGATAGATCTCTTCACCTAACAAAAAACTCATTGTCCCAAAGGGTTGTGTATTATTAAATAGATATTGTGTAATATTAAAAAGAAATAAATCATACAATTAAACAATCATAAATGTATGTTTAATATTTTTATTTTCAGCATCTGTACACCCAGCATTAAAATCAGTCTATATAAAATACTACAACACAGAGAAAGCATCCCAAACACCGATACAGCAGTCTAAAAATCCTAATGTCAATCTGATTATTTACAAACATTTTACTGTAAATTGTTCAGACGACTTTTCAGGAGAACAATAAAAACAGAAATAAAAACAATAAAAACTGCTTCACAGAGAGCTTGAGACGAGATGAAAAATCCCAGATCCAGGTTTATTTTTCCTTCTAAAGATCAAACAGAAACACAATGATCAGACAAAATGTTCTTAATAAAATCTTTTTCAATAAAATTGAAAGTGAAAGTGGTGTTTAGAGCTTAGAGAAACAAAACTCACCTTATCATTTAATTCAGAGTCACCGGAGTCTGCATGGAAATTTACATTTATTAATAACTACATTTAAATGGACATGTTTGTATGTTTAACAGTGATCTCATAATCTCCTAATCACACACAGCGACTAGTGTAAGTTTACTGTCATGCTTTAAACTCACCAGAAGAGCTGAATGTCCAGGAGAGAAACTTGATCATGCCATAAAGAAGAAGAGCAACAGCGACCATCGCCATCGAGTCCTCAATAGATGGAGCTGCGACACCTAAAATCAACAACAACAACATAATCATAATAAATAAAATAAGCACATAAGTATAAAATAATATATAGATTAAATGCAAGTCAAATATTGTAAGACATGATCTAAAACAAGTCGCTACACAATCACATGAACATACATTATTATTAGTGCTGGGCGAAAATGAATCGCTATTAACCACATTACAAAATAAAAGTCTGTTTTGACTGTAGTTATCGAAAGCGTGTGTACTGTGTACATTTATTTTGTAAAAAGAGACAAAAGTCAAGACGCTAAATATTTTTGTGTCATGTTAACTCTAGTTAGTTTATCAGGTTTCATCTAAATGTTTTTAAGTTATATAAAGTTTAACTTGATATTTTCTGTCAGTTTGATTGATGGAAGTTAAGATAACTAGAAAAGTTAACAAAAAAAATTAAGGAAGCAGGACTTTTTACTTTGAAATGAATACATTTGTTTGAGAAAATGTTAATTATATTTAGATATAAAATATATATGTATATGATACAAATTATATATAAATTAAAAAGTCAATTTAAAGACTATTTAATTTAAAATTGAAATTTCACAGGAGGGTTAATAAATTTAACTGTATAAAGTTATATCTCACCGATGACATTGAGTGCAGCAGAGGCTCGTCGTGTTCCTCCGTCATGTTTGGCCACACAGCTGATCTCTCCGCCCCGAGCGAGTCTCAGTTTAGTGGAGTCGAGCTCCAGACGGCTGCTCTGACTGAAGGTGCCATCAGACGCCCGTCTGTGACCCGTTACACTGCCCTGACCCAGAGAGAGGGACTTCCCATCAGCCCCGGTAAACTCCCAGCCCAGATCCAGAGTGTGAGGAGCAAAACCAGACGCCTCACACTGAACCGACAGCACCTGTCCCGGGACCAGCAGAGGAAGAGGAGAGGGGAGGATGGAGAGAGATGGAGGCTCTGGAGAAAGAAGAGACAGGGGTTATTACTGTAGATACGACTGTAGATTAATATAATAAATACAGATAAACCCAGCAGAACAAAAGTAGAACATGGAGAGAGAGAAGACTGAGATGATTAATGACTGAGATGATTATTGTGACTATAGATTAATATAACAAATACAGAGGAGAAGGATGGATGGAGAGAGATTGAGACTCTGCAGAAAGAAGAAAGACAGAAGTTATTACTGTAGATATGACAGTAGATTAATATAATAAATACAGATGAAGCCAGCAGAGGAAAAGAAGAACATGGAGAGAGATGAAGGCTCTGGAGAGAGGAGAGACAGAGGTCACTATTGTAGATATGGTTGCAGTCAAGATACACCAAGAATTTTTATGTTTAAATCTGGAAGTTCCTAGTTAAAGTGCTTGATAATCTGGTTCAGATGTGTCTAATTGGGGTTGGAACTAAACTCTGCTGGAGACCAGCCCTTCAGGACCAAGTTTGGGCACTCCTGGAATAGAGCAATGTTTCCCAACCCTGTTCCTGGAGGTACACCAACAGTACATATTTTTGGATGTCTCCCTTATCTGACCCATTAACTTCAGGTTTTAGAGTCTCTCTAATGTTCTGATGAGGTGATTCAGGTGTGTTTGATTAGGGAGAGGTTGAAAATGTGTACTGTTGGTGTGCCTTCAGGAACAGGGTTGGGAAACACTGGTTTAAAAGACATTTAACAGGTGTCCAAACATAGACGTCTTGGCTAAAACACAGCTAAATTTGACTGAAAATATCATATATTTTTAACAACAGCCTAAAATTAGACTAGTCATTAACTCTTGTGTATTGTTCACATTTACCACCCTTTCGTTATGTTGGTGGCTGTTTTTGCCCCATTGACTTCCATTATAAAGACATTTTTTGCTTGCAAAGTCGTGAAAGTATATAATCAAGCATTCCTAATTGTTGGTGGTTTTATCTGCTGGGAACTTGTCATTTTTACTATGAATAATATGTCAGAATAATATTTGGCTTGACCATATGTTTAGTTTAATATCCAAAATGCATTATGATAGCTAAACCATGTGATTCCGCCACTAAATGTATAATAACTGAAGCACTCGCTCCTCTCACCAACGATCTCCAGGTCCACAGCCACCTGTGCCAGCAGATGAGGAAGGTAAACTGTGCAGATGTAAGTTCCTGAGTGTCTGACTTGAGATTCCTCCAGGATCAGAGAAACGTTGCCTGTTTGATAGAGGCCTGTGATGTCCATTTCAGCTCCGCTCTCTGACGTCTCTGCAAAGCGATCATTCTTGCCGTCGTAAGCGAGCACCAGCCGTCCTTCACCCCTGAACTGATAACGCCACTCGATGGAGAATCCAGAGCCGTGAAGAGGAGAAGACGGATCAACCCAGAACCCACAGTCCAGCAGAACCGGCTCTCCCAGTCTACAGCGAACCACTGGAGTTTTGCTGGACACACTGAGGATCACTTTGAGGAAGAGAGAGAAAAACAGAAGTGAGCATGGTGTTATTATGTACTGTTTAAGTAATACAGTATATTATTGACATGTAACATTATGCAAATACATATATTACTCTGTATCTGTATTATACAGACATATAACATCCACCGCCGGTCAAAAGTTTGTGTCAATAAGATATTTTACAGTTTAAAATGAAGCCAAATCTGCTCACAACAATGACAAATTATTAATATGTTACTATAAATGACTTATAATTTTTTAATGTTGATAACATTATTTCCTGCTTCATACATTACTTTTTTTAGGATTTTTAGATGAAAAGAAAATTAGAATGAAAAGAATTTATAATACATTTATATGTTTACTTTATAAATGTCTTAACATTTCCTTTTGAAAGATTTACTGGGGTACTTTAAATGGTGTTATATAACACTCTCCACAAAAATAATAATATTTATGTCTTGATCATCAAAGCATAATGAAGCTTTGATCCCACTTATTGATCCAAAACTTTTGACCATTGGTGCTCCTAATTAGTTTTTTTCCCCCCACAATATAAGAAACTGAACTGTTTACCTTTCGGGTCTTTAGAAGCTAAAGGCGCTCTCATAATATTGGACAGTGTCAGCTGTTCATCAAGGCCTTGTGCCGCCACTGAAAACCAATCAGCTTGCAGGTAGACTGGACTCTGGGCGGAGTCAGTGAGAGCAGAAGCCCATCTGACCATAGAGGCGTGAGGCATGAAGGGGTTAATCTCACATTTGGGTTTATTTACTGAGCCTTTAGGAGGATTCAGAGCAGCACTGCAGAATGTGCCTGCTGGATCTGGAGGAGGACAGAGCAGTAAAGTTTAGTTATCATCCAATATAGTATTTGTTGTTTTACATTTTAGCACATTGTCATTACACTTACACATGACATGACTGTAGTTTTGGATCTAGTTGGTGCAGAAAATGGATGAAATACAATTTTAAAATAGCTAGATAGCACAAACTATATAATACAAGCATCACAATCAGATTAAAAATAAAAAATATTTATTTAATTTAGGTACACCTTACTCAAATCTTCTTTTACTTAAGGGAGTACTTGGTGAATTATTATTATTAAACACTGAACAAGTCAACACACACGTCTTTAAATGGTCATGATCACTGACCAGTCACATAGTAGACTCTGGATGAGCTGATGTCTGCAGGAGGATGCAGTTCAGTCTTTATTTCTTCACTGAAGGCTTCAGTTCTGATGAACATAAGAGATTTCTCTTGACTCATTGGGGTTGATAAACCTCCTCCATGACCAGGCTTCTCTTGTACAAACCAGCACTCCAGAACCGGACATGCACCACAAACTGCAAGAGAAACAAATAGGGTCCGTGATCATACAAAGACTGAATGTATTAAATAGTTCAATCCGTGCAAAACTTACCACCAAAACACAATGTAAATACGATGATTGATATCTTGTATATGGTCGAAAATCCAGACATCGTTGCTCTGCAGGTTAAACTTATATCTATGTGTGACTGCGCTGTTTGGGGGTTTCCAAAACAGTAGAGCTTTCACAACGGTTTCACTTTCACAACGTGTCTATAAAACATACGCAGTATTTGGGGCGCATGCGCATTAACTGCTGCTTGTTTAGCGTTAAAAATCCAGATTCATTTTAAGTTTAGAAAATTGTCGTGTGACAGATTTTTCACGTAACATCATTTAAACATATAGTAACAAATAACACGGAATATATCTCATACTATATGTCTCCAATACATGTATGTTTTTCTAGTAGCTGTTTCCACTGGGTGGCGCTCAACAAAAGTCCAAATGCGTCTATGGATATGAAGCAGGATTTTTTTTGCCTTATGATCACGTTGTTTCAAGGAACAGAGTGCAGCTCAGGACACAGGTGAGCTAACCATGTTAAAAACAAATGGCAGATTTTTACAAAACAGTTACAAAGGGTAAAGTAAACAGACATAATTTAGCTTATTTTCAATGCTGTACTTGACTCAAGATCTCATCATATTTGCAGATAACATGTTTGATTAATTGATTGTTTACCAAGAATACGAATGAGAGAAAGAGTATAATTGTGTATAGTGTTGTAAGTGGTATAGCTCGGTGGTATACATCTGTTATAAGAAAATGGTGAACCCATATGCTTATTTTAATAAGTGGTTACTTCATATGGCTTCTGCAATTATACTGTTGCTTTCTATTCTAGCTTATTTGCTTTTTGAGACTAAGTCGCTTATAGTAGTCAGTGTTACTTTATGGTATATTTTACTGTATATATTAATCAGTTTTATCAACACATTCAGTTGTTGTATATTACTAATGTAGATAATTCTGTTGTTTGAATAAACATTTTTTTTTAGTTTTAATGCTCTCGACACAGAGGTGAAAACCGACAAGCTATTGACAATTTGTACAATGTAGGTATTTAAAAAAAAATAAAAATCTTACTAACCTAACTTGTGTATATATATATATATATATATATATATATATATATATATATATATATATATATATATATATATATATATATATATACACTTACATGTAAAAGCATCTCATGATGCATTTTATTAACTATTATGATATATATATATATATATATATATATATATATATATATATATATATATTTTATTTTTTTTTTTTTTTTTCATTAGTTCTCCATTGTGAATTTGTTAATAGAAGGCTGATAAAATGAAAAGTAGACTTAGTTTCTGAGGACCACACATCCTTATATTAATCCATTATTTTTACCTGTATTTTTCTCTTGTGTGGAATATCTATTTTTTCTAAAAACTTGTACAGTTCAAATAAAAAGCCCACACATACAATGTATATTGTGCACATATTCACACAAACACTAAGTAACTAAAATAGGCACACACACAATGGTTTTAATATAAGGCTGGATAGTGGGTTTACTTTTTGAGTAGTTTAACCAAGACTATTTAAACACATTGAAAAAACAAGGAAACGATTTTTTAAACTCAGTAATACAAGATGGCTGAAAAGACTGAAGACACAGGTCTGCATAATGTCTTTATGATCTTCATTCCTTTACTTTCTAAATCATCCTGGGTTTAGATTATTACCCAGGTGATTTCTGATGTAGCATCAACTCTGGATTTCTATTGGCCAGTATTTACCTGTCTGTTTCATTGAAGGCGGGGTTTCTCTATCTGCTCTGGAAAGAGGAAGTTTACTCTTCGGGATTTGTGAATGAAAGAAGATGGCTGACAGAATTACACAAATGCAAAAAATGGAGTACATACTGCTGCTGGTTGTCTGTCTACCTTATGTTGATGGTGGTGAGTTTGATTGTTTCTTTAAAAAGTAGATGTTTAAAATAAAGTATTCATCACTTTTATAAAAAAAAAAAATCCAATAACTTGGAGACAGATTAACCATTTCATGCACGGTGTCCAGTACAGACATATACTTTAAATGTTTTGAATCAATTACATTTATAACCCAGCCTCCAATGTGCCGAATTTTACAATTATTCATTTGTACAGTTCAGTTGTTGTCTGCAATTGTATGTTTCTCACTTTGTTGTTTTGAGATATTGCCTCATGCATTCAAAATGGCGGACGGAGAAAAGAATGCAAAAAGGGACCTTATGAGTACCTCATGCCACCAAGATTAACATTAGCCTATACTGTACCTATACATAGATTCTGCTTACTTTTTAGTTTTTTGTTTAAATTCTGATATTAATTAATGATTGAATGCTTTTTTGATCCATGCCTGTAGTTCAAACTGGCACCCATGTTTTTTGATAGACCATCTGCTGGTCTTATGGTTATTTGTATGAATGTTTGTATGTTTTCCTAATTGCTGGACGCTCTTGGTTCATCACCCTTAATCTGGCTTACAAATATCGCAGTCAAGTGAGCTGCCAAATGAGAACAACCAGTCAAAGTTAGGTGTAGACCTGTATTTTAATGTACTTCTGTTTGAGGAATTTTGTACAGAAGCAAGGGGCAGCCAAAAACATTTTCAAGCCAATTACATTTGACAAAAATTGTATAACAATTTCTTTTTCAGGATGACATTGACTGCCAAAATGCATCACTGATCATTATTTCATGTCAACTATGGCAGAATTTTTAAGCAATAGCAGTAGAAAAAAACAGATGTGTTTTGCAGACTTCATTTTTTTGCCTTGTAAATTGGCATAAATGTCATGTCTACATTTAAGAAATTATCAATATCAATGAAAAAAGCATGCATTTGATCAGTGTTATAAATTATTTCGGCAGACTTTTGCAAAACTCTGCAATAAAATATATTTCAGTGTTATATATTTTCATATTTATAAAAAAAATACATTTTTGATTTTAATTTATATTTAATTTATATTTAACTTAACCAATAACTGCTGAAATATATGTCTTTGTAAGGTTTTTGGCTGCCCCTTGCTTCTGTACGCAATTCCTTAAACAGAGGTGCATTAAAATACAGGAGGCAGCTACAGCTAGCTTGACTGGTTGTTCTCATATGGCGGCTCACTTAACTGCAGTTTATAAATAAGTTTCTTAAATAAGTATGATTTCTGCTTGCTTAGTCTTTTAAGTGTTTATACTCTGTCTGTTCATTAACATTTATCAACATTTTCCTAGCTCGTTTATTGGGAACCAAACATGGGTTAACTATTTATTTTGCACTTTAGTCAGTTGTGGCGGTTTTATATGAAAAGTGTATTTATTTGAAAATGCAATAAAAGGGTAAAAAAATAAAAAAGTTATTTTAAGAAGACAGTGCCAGGTTTATCAATGTATTATATATTCAAATGTTATGCATACACACACACACACACACAAACATATATAGTCTGTATTTTGTTCATCATGATAATTAAAAATAATTGTTTATTGTTTTAGCAACGCACACCTGGAATGCCTATTACACTGCAACAACTGGATTGAGTCAGTTTCCAGAGTTTGTGGCACAGAATCTCATTGATGGTCAGTTGATGGGGTACTTTGACAGCAAGACCAACTGCTTTAAGAGCCAATTTCAGTGGATGGAAGATAAACTTGGGACAGCATATGATGAGCAACAAACTAACATTCTACAGCGCCATACTGCAAAATTCAAGAACAACATTAAAGTTGCAATAGAGCGCTTCAATCAAACACAAGGTATAACTGTTTTAATCCTCTTAGTTCTTGTCTTTAAAAGTTTTCTAATTGTTGTAATATATAAAACAGTAGCAGTCATATTAAAATAATAAGTGTGTTGTAAATGCTAAGTTAGTTATACAGGATTTGTCTTTTTTTCTGGTCAAGACAAGTAGCTAATTTTACAACAAGTCAGATACATGTCCAGTATTAAAAGTTAGACAAACCACAATTTGCAAAATGTCCCCCCATGTGTAATAATAAAAGACAAGGATAAAGACAAAACACAAGAGGACATGAATTGAAAGGAAAATATTAAGAAAGAAAAGTTTTTTCAAGGACGTGTTTAAATCATGTATGTGTAATTTTGTCAGTCAGTGTTAAGTTAATTGTTTAGCTGTGCCTTTACTGAATGAGCACTGTGCTGTGGCCGACAAATTGCAATGTGACTGCGTAATTTCTTTTTTAAAATTATTTTAAAACCAGTTTGACACATTTTAATATGTTTATATGTTTTTATTGTTGTTGTTTTTATTTTCTTTTTTCATTTATTCTTGTTTATGTAGAGCGCTTTAAATTATTATTGTATATGAAATGTGGCGTATAAATAAACTCGCCTTGCCTTAATTTCTCAATTAACTATACAGTTGAGCAGCAGATCCCACTTCTCAGCTAAAAACTAATTTAACTTTAATTAACAAAATATTAATTTATATAACTTTTAGAAGAAATATTGATCAGATAATATGTTTAATTAATTGTAAATAATAAATCTAAATGATGTATGTTCAGTTAAATTGTCATTTTATTAAAGAAAGTATCACTATTGTTTTTCAGTATTTCTTTCTTCAGAAAGAAAGATAAAAACTTGTTTCTCTCTGGAGCTCCACAGCTAGTGGCTATTATTTTTTTTTCAGCTTTTACAGAAGACTCAAGGCAGCATAAGCATTTATGATGATCAACCTTGCCCTAAGATCAAATTGTTATCTTCTTAATGCATATCTTTTACGACCAGTCAGATTAATTTGTCAAATAGGCCTGCAGTTTTCTGATTTTTTTCAGGACTAAAAAGATTTTAACACAGATAAATTAGATCTGTCGCTGTTTTTTAGGTGTGCACACATTACAGGAAATTTACGGTTGTGAGTGGGATGATCAGACTGGAAATTTAAATGCATTCAGACAGTATGGATATAATGGAGAGGATTTCCTGACTCTGGATTTTATGGAGATGAGATGGATTACTCCAGTGCAGCAAGCAATGATCACCACACAGAAGTGGAACAATGACAGAGGCTTCATTGAAAGTGACATGAATTACTTCAGGTCTGAGTGCATTGAGTGGCTGCAGAAGTACTTGGAGTATGGAAAGAGCAGCCTGATGAAAACAGGTGCATCAAATTATATGCACAATTTCAATGTGCAGGTTTTCATATTCATGTAAGCCATTATTAAATTTTAGTTCTCTCTCCAGTCTCTCCTCAGGTGTCTGTGCTGCAGAAATATTATTTCTCTCCAGTTGTGTGTCATGCTACAGGCTTTTACCCCAGTGGAATAAAGATCTCCTGGCAGAAAAATGGACAAGATCATGATGAGGATGTGGAGCTTGGTGAACTTCTGCCCAATGCAGATGGAACCTTCCAGAAGCGCAGCACTCTCAATGTTAAACCTGAAGAGTGGAAGAACAGCAAGTTCAGCTGTGTGGTGGAGCATCAGGGGGAAAGAATTCTGACTGAAGACGAAATCAGAACTAACAATCGTAAGTAACGTGCAGTCTGACACAGAGGGATCCATTTGCAGTACATTTATTAAACAGTTTAATAACAGGCACACAATACACACTAGTGTGCAAACTCGCATCAAACCAAGTAATACTGGGTCGATAGGCTGGTGGCTGGCTGTCAAGGAGTGTGTTAGCAGGCATGGGTCAGAGGCAGGTGGCGTGGATCAAAGGCGAGGTACAAGGCAGGGTTCGAGGCAGGCGGCTTGGGTCACAGTCGAGGTACAAGGCAGGGTTCAGGGCAGGCAAGGCAAGGTTAATAAACAGTCCAGGTAATAACAGGGAGATCGGGCCAGGAGATGAACGCTCAGTAATGTCAGCAAGGCAGAACAAGACTTCGCACTGGAGTGAGTGTTTGGGCTGCTTATATGTGTGTGTGTGTGGATCATCAGTATGATGTGCTGCAGGTGTGTTGCAATCAGTGTTTGAGCATGACGTAATACTTAGAAGTCCGATGATGACCTCTGCTGGCCAGCGAGGGGGATGACTGGGCCCGAGTCGGTGACAGTTATATTGAGTGCCTATAGATCATGACACTACAAAATGTAAATATATACCATTTTATGTAAAGTTATGCTTAATATTTATCATGTATTATTATGTCAGAGACAACATTCTATAAGATTAGACAAATGGCATCACACTCAGAGTTTAGATTTTTAGTATTTGCTGAATTCTACAGGTTTCTATCATAGTCAAGCTCTTAGTAATCTGCGGTTTTTTTTCTAATCAGCTTCTGCTACCATTGGCATCATCATTGGCATTGTACTTTCTGCTGTCCTACTGCTGTTTATTGCTGTTGCTGGGTTCGTGGTGTATTGGAAAAAGAAAGGTGAGAAGAAATATTGTCATTGCTGTTGTGAATATATTGTGTTACACATGTGTGTGCTGCTACAATGTGTGAAGTTACTGAACTAAAAATTCACCTTTTTTTTTTTTGTTTAAAGGCTTTAAACCTGTTCCTGCAAATCGTAAGTTTTTTTTAACAATACCTTTTTAATATAAATGCATCAGTAACAGTAATGCATCTGCCCTCTGTCCCAATGTGGCTAATATTAGTACACTTATACAGTAAAGTTCCATTAGTTAATCCCATTAGTAAACATAAACAATTAAAACTCCCTAAAATATTTATTATTTTTAGTGAATGTTAATTTCATCATTTACTAATACAGGAATACAGTCAAAGGTACAAAATATAGTGTGAATACTGTATGTGAGCAAACACTGAACAGTTTTATTTTCATGAGCTGACCTTAAATAAGATGTAAACATGCACTGATAATTGTTAGTTAACGCTAACATAACTAGAGACAACTAATGGGATCTTATCGTAAAGAGTTATCAAACATTTATATATACAAATCTGTAAAAGAAATGTTTTGATCATGTTAAATAAAATAGAAAATCAAATTAGCTTTTATTTAAATATCCCCTTATAAAATATTAGTATGTGATATGTGGAGGACCAGCGGTGGCACTAAAAAAAATTGAATAAGTTACCAATTGAATAACTCAAACATTAATGTCTAGAATTCATAAATTAGTGACATAAAGGTTGACTTAAACAGTAAATTATAGACTTGCACTGCTCTAGGTGGAGCATCAGTATACTTTTGTCTGCTCTAAACATTTTTTTATTTTGCAGCTTCTGACTCAGTTGCTGAAAAAACCAAGAGTCAAACATGCAAGTTTCTTTTTTTTCCCTAAAATCTTCCAAAATTTCCTAAAAAATCTTGAGCAGTGTATTCTTAATTTTTTTTTGTAAAATGTCTATTTTCTATGCAGCTGTGAACTCTGACAATGACTCTGGCTGTGGCAGTGGATCAGACAGTGTTTCACACAAAAGCTCAGACAGTACATCAGACATCAGCTCTGTTTGCTCCGACAACAGCTCTGACAGCACCACAGCTTTATTACGTAAGTGTCTTATATTTATTTATTAAAATAAAAATTTAATTACTAAAAATTCACCTCTTTTTTGTTTAAAGGGTTTAAACTTGTTCCTGCAAAGTGTATGTTTCTTACAATACCTTTTTAAAATAAATGCATCAGCAAACAGGTCGGATCTGCCCTCTGTCTCAATGTGGCTAATATTAGTACACTTAAACAGTAAAGTTCCATTAGATAATCCCATTAGTGAACATTATCGTTCTCTAGTTATTATATATTTATATATTCAAATCTTTAAAAGAAATGTTTTGATCTTGTAAAATAAAATAGAAAATCAAATTATTCAAATAACCCCTTATAAAATATTAGTATGTGATGTGTGGAGGACTAGCGGTGGCACTAAAAAAAGATTGAATAAGTTACCAATTGAATAACTGAAACATTAATGACTAAAATTCATAAATTAGTGACATAAAGGTTGACTTAAACAGTAAATTATAGACTTGCACTACTTTAGGTGGAGTATAAGTGTACTTTTGTCTTGAGCAGTGTATTCTGGATTTTTTTTGTAATGTGTCCTTTTTCTATTCAGCTGAGAACTCTGACAAGAACTCTGGCTGTGATAGTGGATCAGACAGTGTTTCACACAAAAGCTCAGACAGTACATCAGACATCAGCTCTGTTTGCTCCGACAACAGCTCTGACAGCACCACAGCTTTATTTTGTAAGTGTCTTATATTTATTTATTTATATAACCAACTTCCTAGTCGCAAATGAATGAAGTCGCATAATGATGTATTTTTTTGTTCTTACAGGAAACAGACAAAAATATGACAAAGAAAACTGAACCTGATAATGTTCTGACACTTGCATGCAGGTTTTGATAAATTTGGACATAGTTTAAGGTAGGGGAGAGCGGGGCACAAAGTAACACTTTTTGGTTTTGGTCAAATAATGAACAAAGTAATGGGGTTAGATAAACTTTATTTTTTACCAACAACACACAAGCCTCTCCTACAAATAAGCACTGACATTTTGATCGCCGGACTTATGGTTTCTGTGCACAATTATCAAATGTGCCAGGAGTAAAAATGTTACTATTTACCCCACATGCGGGGCAAGTTGTAACAGACAGAGAGTTAGTTGTAACACATGCTTACGAAAGCAGATTTCACACAATTAATTAAATTTCTGTTTACTGTAAATTGTAGCTATATTTTCTCAGTAATTGGCTCATTTCTTTTTAATTTTAGCATAAGACAGTATGTTCATTTATGTATTTGTTTAGTGGAAACATATTTGAATCTATTTACATTAATTTCCATTAATTATTATTATATTATGCATTTATTTGCATTATTAGCTATAAAATATATTTTTTTCTATTAAAAAATAATTTTTATTTAAGAAGTTCTCAATATTCTAAAGATATTTAGCTTGTTTAATTGGTGTCCAACAGTGTGAGGCTTAAATAAAACACCCTGTTACAACTAACCCTGCTGCATCATGTTTTCCTTAAAACTGGCTAGCAGTCACTGTGCATTTTTTTTTTACATCTTTCAAAATGGTTTTATCTTTTAGCCTGGAAGACAATGATCACAACAATATAAGATTTTTCGTTCATACTTTCACACATTTTTAAAAAAAATATATATATTGTCTATAATTAAAAATACTTTTACGCTGCTGAAATGGTTTCTCCTGTGTTTCTCATCCAAATTTCGCCAAACTTTTTAATAATTGGCAGAAAGACGTCTGCTAACACTGTGGTGTAAACCTCGTAAGCATGCCATGGTTAACCCTGAGAAAATACCATAAAACTCCGTATTACATTTAACCCCTCGTTACTTTGTGCCCCATTCACAAGTGTAAGTTTTTCCGTTTATTTATGGTAGTGTATTGCATTATGGGACTTTGATCTCCACTCTGGCAACTTTTGTTGAAAATTTAACTCTACAGTTAAGCAAAGTGACTTTTATTGAGATTTTAGTAGTTTCAAATAATAAAATGTATGAGCAATAATATATAGGAAAATAAGTCTAAAATAGCAGAAGCTGTACTGGCAGCTTTTACTGTGTATGCTAAAAAATGCAGGGTTCCATACAATTCCTTCATGTTGTCCCAACGCAAATCTATTAAATTAAAATAATAATTTGTGGATTAAACATAAAAAATCAAGTTGCCCCCCAGAAAAACTTAAGAAATGTGTTTCAACAAATTTTAAATAAGTAGTTTGTTTTTAATGCGTAGTTTAAATAATTAGTATCACTTTATACTTTTAAAAATATTATCAACATTTTTTCGAACATTTTTTAAGGTTAAAAGTTGTTGGTGAAAAGACCAAGGTCCCATAATGCAATTCATACATTCATTTTCCTTTTGGCTTAGTCCCTTTATTAATCAGGGGTTACCACAACGGAATGAACTGCCAACTTATCCAGCATATATTTTACGCAGCGGATGCCCTTCCAGCTGCAACCTATCACTGGGAAACATCCATACACTCCCATTCACACACATACACAACGGCCAAATTAGCTTACCCAATTCACCTATTCTACATGTCTTTAGACTGTGGGGGAAACCCACGCAAACACAGGGAGAACATGCAAACTTCACAATTTCAAATTAACTATGAGAAAAAAATAATATGAATCACAAAATACAGAAAGCTGCTAATTTACCTTTACATTGTATATTGGCCTGTATTTAGCCAAGTGATTTCATGAGTAAAAAAAAACACAAAGTACTAAAAGGATGTCATGACTTAATCAATAATGTATCAGGTGGAGGGCATGAAAATGTCACTTATTTTCTGAGGTATTTTTAATCACTTTTTTCATGGTGTTGATTGTGCCTTTATTAAAGCTATTGTTTTTTACAGAAATGCAGTCAAATTTTGGCAAGTGTTCATACGAAGATACTTAATGTGTAAAGTGTAAAGATTCATAAACAAAACTGTCAAGTTTTGTTCTATATGTGGTTTATGAATGTGAGTGTGTGCGTGTCTGTTTGGTTTAAAGCTGACCTATTATGCACTTTTTTTTTTACAAGATGTAAATAAGTCTCTGATGTTCCTAGTGTGAATGTGAAGTTTCAGCTTAAAATACCCCACTAATAATGTTTTATAACACTGAATCTGCCGCTTTTAGGCATTGATTTAGAGCAGGGGTGGCCAATCCTGTTCCTGGAGATCTACCCTCCTGCAGATTTCAGTTGCAACCCTTATCAAACACACCTGTCTGTAATTATCAAGAGGATTTCAGTGTCACGGTCGGTGAGGGAAAAAAAAGGAGTGCAGACCCAATTGCAGAAAAATGAAGGAATATTTATTATAAACTACAAATAAAAATAAAAGGCAAAACAAAACTACCCCGAAGGGGAAAACATTAATAAAAAGGCAAAAACAAACTTGACAGGGCTGGCAGGACAAAACAGGACTGGAGACAACAAGACAGAGTAATATCGACGACGAACTGACAAAGGACTGAAAACATGAGGGGGATTATAAAGCAAAAAAGTAAATTGAAACACAGGTGAACACAATTAACTAAATATGGGTTAACAAGGAGGGTGGGACTAGACAATAGACGGGAGAGCGCATGACACAGAGAGACAATACAAGCCATGCGCTCACATAACACAACACTGAAGCACACGACAAAAGCACGTGACCAATGTAAACACCGAGCCATGTGCTTTGACAAAAGACGCAAGACACGAGCACACGATGAATGAAAACACTCACCATGCGCTCACATATGCAGCATGCATGCTTCATCCCAGCGCCGACCAAAACCGAAACCAACAAGACTGAGACGCTGGGAATGAAACACCATGCTGCTGACAGACGAAAACACAAACACGAGTACAAGAGCGCACGCGTCTGAGGGACGCAGAGCGCGCGCGCGGCCGCGTCAAGCAGGAGCGCGCACACTCTACGTACACCCACGACGGCGCGCGCTCACACAGAGACAGAAACAGGACCAGACATGAGAAGTGTCAGAGCTCTGCCACCAAAACAAGAATTTTCAAGACCAAAGTGGCAGAACCCTGACATTCAGGTCCTAATTAATTGGTTCAGGTGGGGTTTGATCAGGGTAGGAGCTAAACTGTACAGGAAGGTAGATCTCCAGGAACAGGATTGAGCACCCCTGATTTAGATTGTGCCCTTTTAGTGACTGTCGCTTTAAATTTAAATGAGATTGTGCTCTTTGGGCAAAGCTAAAAATGCTTATGTGTCAGCATAGCAGCAGATTTAAAACAGCTGCTTCTCACTCAGGACTTTTTTTATGCTTTTTATGGGAATCGCCACGAATGGGCGGGGGTTTCCCTCTTTGATAACATGTACAACGGGAAAATGTTAATTAAAGTGTTTCTGCACACTGCTTTTTAATCAAATGTGATTCTAAAAAATAGAATTAGTTAATTTTTACCATTAGAGGCTGAATATATTCACACACTGTTACCACACAACTGTGTTTAAACCGCTTACAAAAGAGTTTTTGCATAATAGTTCCCCTTTAATTAGTGTAAAAGCATAAGTTTGTGTCCTGAATGTACTTTTTTCAGTTTAATTAAAGGAGGGATTGTGTTATACTCGGAGTGCCTTGATATACTGCGGATTTAAGAATGTTAAATGTTTATGTTGCAAATTTCTGTTAATGAAGCAAGATGACTGTATATTACATAAGCTGTAAGTTTCTCTGGTGCAAATATATATTTATGTTTTAAACTCTTTCACTTGAAAATTTCCCCCTCTCTCTTATCCGTTCTCTACCTTCTAGATTGATGATGTATATGAGAATTGTTATTAGTGTGTTTGGACTCATATCTTAAGCTTTCAGTTATCTGGCCTCAGTAATGATTCCTGGGCTAGTCTTTTGTTGGTATGGAATTTGTATTTGTTTGTGGAATGCACTTACCTGTACTATATGTTAATAAAATAACCTCCATGTTTACCTGTGTGATGAAATTCACCTGCCTTGTGCCAAAGAAGGAAGCTACCTACATTACTTTCCTGTTCTTATGTTTACCTTCTCTAAGGCTTTTATTTTGTTACACACATTCTGTTTTGCCATGTATGTGCTCTTAAAAATAAGGCGGTATCACTTTACTTGAGAGGATGTTCATAAGACTGTCATGAACCCTTTATAATCATGACATGACACGAACGAGTGAGATTTTATGCATGCTTATGACAACTGTTAAGTGTCATTTGCTCAGTTATGACATTTTATATGCAAAGATGACATTGTTTGTTATGACAAATTGAAATTAAACTTATCATAAATCTGTCATTAACATGATTGCCATGAGGAATTATAATTAATTTTCTTTCGGCTTTATCTGTGATTTATTATGGATTGCCACAGCGAAATGGACCACCAGCATTATAATTGTCATGAATATTTTTCTGATTAAGATTTCAGTGGAACAAACTGTATTTGTCATTAAAAGTGTCATTACTCTGTCAAATGTTTAATAGCATAATTATTTAATGACATTTTAATGACAAATTTAGCTTGTATAGTGGAGATCAAAAAATATTAATGATGGTGTTAAAAAACTCAAGACGTATTTATAATGGCTTCATGAAAATCATGTTTATGACAGATTTATGACAAGTTTTGTTTTCGAAGTAATGTCAGGTTGTCATGACAAAGACAGGTTGTGATGTATTTGTTTATGCCAGGTTGTCATACCAAACAGTGTCATCTTTGCATTTAAAACGACTTAGCGAATGACACTTAATGACAGTGGTTATAAGCATGCATAAAATCCATAGACTGTGAAATAAAATCCCATTCACATTCATAACGTCATGTCATGAT